AACAACATAGAACACATAGAGGTGTCTAGAGACGAAGTGGAAAAATGCTCAAGGAGCTCGGTAAGAACAAAGCAGCTGGCCCAGATGGCGTTTCACCATGGGTTCTGAGAGAATGTGCATCTGAGCTCAGCATTCCACTTCACCTGATCTTTCAGGCATCCCTGTGTACAGGAATCGTAGCAGACGGGTGGAAACAGGCTAACATAGTTCCAATCTACAAAAGTGGCAGCAGGGAAGACCCCCTCAATTATAGACCTGTATCATTGACAAGTGTAATAGTGAAAGTATTGGAAAAACTAATCAAAACTAAATGGGTAGAACACCTAGAGAGAAATGATATAATATCAGACAGACAGTATGGTTTTCGATCTGGAAGATCCTGTGTATCGAATTTACTCAGTTTCTATGATCGAGCCACAGAGATATTACAGGAAAGAGATGGTTGGGTTGACTGCATCTATCTGGACCTAAAAAAGGCTTTCGACAGAGTTCCACATAAGAGGTTGTTCTGGAAACTGGAAAATATTGGAGGGGTGACAGGTAAGCTTCTATCATGGATGAAAAATTTTCTGACTGATAGAAAAATGAGGGCAGTAATCAGAGGCAATGTATCAGAATGGAGAAATGTCACAAGTGGAGTACCACAGGGTTCAGTTCTTGCACCAGTGATGTTTATTGTGTACATAAATGATCTACCAGTTGGTATACAGAATTATATGAACATGTTTGCTGATGATGCTAAGATAATAGGAAGGATAAGAAATTTAGATGACTGTCATGCCCTTCAAAAAGACCTGGACAAAATAAGTATATGGAGCACCACTTGGCAAATGGAATTTAATGTTAATAAATGTCATGTTATGGAATGTGGAATAGGAGAACATAGACCCCCACACAACCTATATATTATGTGAGAAATCTTTAAAGAATTCTGATAAAGAAAGAGATCTAGGAGTGGTTCTAGATAGAAAACTATCACCTGAGGACCACATAAAGAATATTGTGCAAGGAGCCTATGCTATGCTTTCTAACTTCAGAATTGCATTTAAATACATGGATGGCGATATACTAAAGAAATTGTTCATGACTTTTGTTAGGCCAAAGCTAGAATATGCAGCTGTTGTGTGGTGCCCATATCTTAAGAAGCACATCAACAAACTGGAAAAGGTGCAAAGACATGCTACTAAGTGGCTCCAGAACTGAAGGGCAAGAGCTACGAGGAGAGGTTAGAAGCATTAAATATGCCAAAACTAGAAGACAGAAGAAAAAGAGGTGATATGATCACTACATACAAAATAGTAACAGGAATTGACAAAATCGACAGGGAAGACTTCCTGAGACCTGGAACTTCAAGAACAAGAGGTCATAGATTTAAACTAGCTAAACACAGATGCCGAAGAAATATAAGAAAATTCACCTTCGCAAATAGAGTGGTAGACGGTTGGAACAAGTTAAGTGAGAAGGTGGTGGAGGCCAAGACCGCCAGTAGTTTCAAAGCGTTATATGACAAGAGTGCTGGGAAGACGGGACACCACGAGCGTAGCTCTCATCCTGTAACTACACTTAGGTAATTACACTTAGGTAATTACACACACACGTAAGCACTTGTTGACCAAACCACACACTAGAAAGTGAAGAGACGGCGACGTTTCGGTCCATCCTGGACCATTCTCAAGTCGATAAGTAAACACAATGGATTTGGAGGTCGTTTTTTCCCTTATACTTTCCAACTTGCACTTGCTGGCTAGGGTTAATTTTGTTAATTTTCCACAGCTTTGTTTCTTCCTCGGTACTACAATCTTGCAATGCCCATTTGAAGAAAGCCAAACCAGTACAGTACTGTACTGCCAAACATGCCTGTACACTGGGTGGCCTGGGAGGGGGACATGCATGTACACTGGGTGCCCCGGGAGGGGGACATGCATGTACACTGGGTGCCCTGGGAGAGGACATGTATGTGCACTGGGTACCCTGGGAGGGGGACATGCATGTACACTGGGTGCCCTGGGAGAGGGCATTTACAACCATTCCCACTGGCTTCTTAAACTCTCCATGGAAATTGCCAGATGCATAAGGATTATTCTAGGACAAAACCATGCGAAGAGAGATTTATACCAACGGTAAAGGGAAAAAAATAAGAAGGAATATAATAACCCATGGTTAATAGACAGTGTCAGGAAGCAAAAATGGCCAGCAGACGGGAGTGGAGGAAGTACAGAAGACAAAGAACAGAGGACAACAGAAGCAGATACAACAGAGCTAGGAACGATACATTAACATAAGACGAACATCGGAAAGGGACTATGAGAACGATATTGCAATCAAAGCGAAAAAAAAAACCCAAGTTACTACACAGTCATATAAGAAGAAAAATGTCGGTGAACGACCAAGTGACAAGACTAAGGAAGACAGAGGGGGCATATACTGAAAGTGACAAGGAAATCTGCGAGGCACTGAATGCCAGTTTCCATGGAGTGTTCACTACCGAGCCTGAGCAGCTCCCATTGTTGGAAGGGGTTACCCTAGATGAAAGACTATCAGATATAGAGGTGACAGCAGAGGAGGTAATGAAACAGTTGACAACTCTAGATGCAACTAAAGCAGTTGGACCAGACAAAGTATCACCGTGGATACTAAAAGAAGCAGCACAGGCCTCAGCGTGCCTCTGGCAATGATCTTAATGAGTCACTTATGTCAGGAGAATTGCCCAGTTGCTGGAAGAAGGCAAATGTCGTGCCGATCTTCAAGAAAGGAGATAGGGAGGAGGCACTTAACTACAGACCTGTATCACTGACAAGCATCCCTGTAAAATACTGGAAAGAATAATTAGGCTGCGACTGGTTGCACACCTGGAGAACATTAGGTTTGTGAACAAACATCAACATGGGTTCTGGACAGGGAAATCGTGCCTAACAAACCTTCTGGAATTCTATGATAAAATAACGAGGATAAGACAGGACAGAGATGGTTGGGCAGACTGCATATTTCTGGACTGCCAAAAAGCCTTTGATACAGTACCGCACATGAGACTGCTGTTCAACAGAGGCAGGCGGGGGTGGGGGGAAAGGTCCTAGAATGGATAAGGAAACTACCTAACAGGAAGGAGCCAAAGAGTTACGGTAAGGGGCGAGAAGTCGGACTGGCGAACAGTAACAAGTGGAGTACCACAAGGATCGGTGCTGGGACCAATTCTATTTCTTGTATATGTTAACGACATGTTTACAGGCGTAGAGTCCTACATGTCGATGTTTGCGGATGATGCAAAGTTGATGAGAAGAGTTGTGACAGATGAGGATTGCAGGATCCTCCAAGAGGACCTGAACAGATTGCAGAGATGGTCAGAGAAATGGCTACTAGAATTCAACACGAGCAAATGTAAAGTTATGGAAATGGGACTAGGAGATAGGAGACCAAAGGGACAGTACACAATGAAGGGGAACAGCCTACCTGTAACGACGCGTGAAAGAGACCTGGGGGTGGACGTAACACCTAATCTATCTCCTGAGGCACATATTAATAGGATAACGACAGCAGCGTACTCTACACTGGCAAAAGTTAGAACATCATTCAGAAACCTAAGTAAGGAGGCATTTAGGGCGCTTTACACTGCCTACGTAAGGCCAGTCTTAGAGTATGCCGCCTCATCATGGAGTCCCCATCTGAAGAAACATATAAGGAAACTGGAAAAGGTTCAGAGGTTTGCAACGAGACTCGTCCCAGAGCTACGAGGGATGGGGTATGAAGAGCGCCTGAGGGAATTGTGCCTTACGACACTAGAAAGAAGAAGGGAGAGGGGGGACATGATAGGAACGTATAAGATACTCAGAGGAATTGACAGAGTGGACATAGACGAAATGTTCACACGGAATAGTAACAGAACGAGAGGACATGGATGGAAGCTTGAAACTCAGATGAGTCACAGAGATGTTAGGAAGTTTTCTTTTAGCGTGAGAGTAGTGGGGAAATGGAATGCACTTCAGGAACAGGTTGTGGAAGCAAATACTATTCATAATTTTAAAACCAGGTATGATAGGGAAATAGGACAGGAGTCATTGCTGTAAACAACCGATGCTCGAAAGGCGGGATCCAAGAGTCAATGCTCGATCCTGCAGACACAACTAGGTGAGTACAACTAGGTGAGTACACACACACACACACACACACACACACACACACACACACACACAGACACACACACACACACACACACACAGACACACACACAGACACGTGCGTGTGTGTCTGTGCTACATTTTGACACACACACAGACACACACAGACACACACAGACACACACACACACACAGACACACACACAGACACACACACAGACACACACACACACACACACACACACACACACACACAGACACACACACACACACACACACACACACACACACACACACACACACACACACACACACACACACACACACACAGACACACACACAGACACGTGCGTGTGTGTCTGTGCTACATTTTGACACACACACAGACACACACAGACACACACACACACACACACACACACAGACACACACACAGACACACACACAGACACACACACAGACACACACACACACACACACACACAGACACAGACACACACACACACACACACACACACACACACACACACACACACACACACACACACATATATATTATAATCATATTTATATTATTTGCATAAAAACTAGGTGATATTAACTAAAATCAACGAATAATAATCACATTACCCCAGGGATCACCATATGATAACCACATTTTAAGGGTTAAACTTGTCCTTCACTGATAGCATAACACAGTATTTTCAGGTAATACTGAAATTTCAGGTTTTACTCACACAGGTAATTTCTAGCCAACATAAGTTTATATGGGAATAAATATTATCTTATAACTGCAATTAATCTATGTACACTCACAAAAATATCTTTTATATCTTTAAAGCTCAGCTGGCCAACATTTACACGAGAAAATGCAGATATATATCTCACCTGTGAGACACCAGCTCTGGCCTGATGAGCCTTCTTCTGATCTCCCCAGTTGCCCGTGGCCAGAGAATATCGCAGCCCATCAGTAATGAGCTTGGGCTTAACTGCAGCATCCAACCCATACTCTTGACCTTTATCCAAGAGTTTCTGAGCATGCATACGAACTTCTTTCATCAAATTCCGGAACAACCTGGGAAAAAAAATTGTGCGCGCTTATGAGACGCTTGAAAGTACTAAAGTGAAATGCCTTCTTTAGTTTAGTACTGGTAACTGCTGGAATGAAATTAGAGAAGTGGCAATAACATTTATTTAAGGGAGGGCACAAAACTCTTCCCAATATTTTGAAACTATGTACTGTACTACAGTACTGCACATCCTTTACTAAACTGAACCTCAAACACACTTAACAATGAATCAAGTTTGCAATGTACTTTTGCTACTTAAGTAAGCACTTGTTGACCAAACCACACACTAGAAAGTGAAGAGACGGCGACGTTTCGGTCCATCCTGGACCATTCTCAAGTCGATAAGTAAACACAATGGATTTGGAGGTCGTTTTTTCCCTTATACTTTCCAACTTGCACTTGCTGGCTAGGGTTAATTTTGTTAATTTTCCACAGCTTTGTTTCTTCCTCGGTGTACTACAATCTTGCAATGCCCATTTGAAGAAAGCCAAACCAGTACAGTACTGTACTGCCAAACATGCCTGTACACTGGGTGGCCTGGGAGGGGGGACATGCATGTACACTGGGTGCCCCGGGAGGGGGACATGCATGTACACTGGGTGCCCCGGGAGGGGGACATGCATGTACACTGGGTGCCCTGGGAGAGGACATGTATGTGCACTGGGTACCCTGGGAGGGGGACATGCATGTACACTGGGTGCCCTGGGAGAGGGCATTTACAACCATTCCCCACTGGCTTCTTAAACTCTCCATGGAAATTGCCAGATGCATAAGGATTATTCTAGGACAAAACCATGGCCAAAAAATTATAATTTGCTAATATGAAAAAGAAAATGATACCGTTCATTCATTGTACACCACTAGAGACCAAAAATAAAAGCATTTCACTGATGGTAGTGTAAGGGTTAATGAACTACTTGTATGGAATGTGAAGAATTTAGTCATTATTAGTCATTTCCAGCCTCTTTAAATTGTAAACATTATGGGTGCAGCAAGAATGATAGAATAAGAGAAATACATGAACACTGTACCACGATGTTTTAAAAAATACTAAATACACCAGAATCAGCCATACAAAATTAGGAAAGAAAATTTGTCCTTTAACTTCTTACCCTCGGAAAAGTAGGGCCATGAGAGGACCGGCCAAATCTAGCCTCTTGTTTCCATAGTGATCACGATCATCTAGCTCTCGTCGACCTAAAGCTGCAAGCAAAAGCCTGTGAACCATGTACCCGAGAAAGTATGCCTTCTTTGTCTCACAAAAATCTGATACACCAACGTGAGGTAACATTTCTTTCTGCAAAATCTCACGGGCATATTTTATGCGCTTCTCTTTTGTTACACCAGGTCGAGCACCGCGTCCACCAATGAAGTTCAATGCAACATTCTGCTCCTGAATCACAAAGGCTTCGTCCAGAGATGGCTTTACCTGAAAAATAAGGAAATGGTATAAAGAGACCAATATAAGTAATATTTAAACACAGGAAATAAAGTTTGAAATAAAATGATTGGATGAACAACAGTACTGCATTAAGAGTTGCTAATTCTATAAAATTTAATACCATACATAATTCCCCAGTTTAAATAAATGATTTCAGCAATTTTTTTTTTTCAAGCCAGTGTCTGTCAAGAACTTTCAGCCAAGTCCTGCTTATCTGGATTTTTATGAAATAGCTTTCAGGATAAGATAGGCAAAATCTGACATGGTAATAGTTGTCGGGCACTTTTGTAACAGGCTGTTCCCACTTATCTTCATATTTTTTTAAGAGAGGGTGAACTGGGCACAAAACAAAGCTCATTCTGATTTATGTTTAGAATAAAAAACTGAACACATTAGCTTTAACTTTACATTAAAAATTTAACAGTTTAGCATTAAAATCTACACAAAAGTGTTCCATTTTGTTTTAATATTTTTTTTGAGCATGACAATTTTTTTTTTTTTTTTAACAAATCTATGTTGAATTGAGTAGGAGATTCAAGAGTAGGGTTTGCTCAGAAATACACTGGAGCAGTGAGGATTCACTGTACTGTATTAATAGTGTACACTTATCTCAAATCTTTAATTTACCTCTCATACTACCATTACAAACTCCAAATTATCTCTGACAACTTGCATTTCATTTTCATTTTGAATGAAGCCATGGTCTGTACACAATCAGGTATTACAAAATGTGTACAATGCAAGCCTTATTTGTAACCCAAACCTCTTAAAGCATTATTTCATCATTTAAAATCTTAATGGGTAATGAAAGAGGTCTGATAATTTCACACATGACATAAAAACAACCTTTTTTTTAACGTCATATTCGGCAATGCAGAATTAGCTATGTCAAATCTGGAAATCAACCTGGTTGCTTCTTCATGGAGAGGATTTGTTGCACTTACATACTGTATACAGCATATATAAACAGTATTAATATCCAAAATGAGTCAAAGTAATAAACTCACCATTTCCATCATCTCTGGATCATCAAAATCATAGATGATATGTTCAAGAATATCTCGATCTGCTACAAAGCCTAAAGCACGAAACACTATCATCACTGGGATTTCCTGCTTCACATACGGCAGGACACCAATGATTCGCTGACCAATAGCAGATTTTTTAGCACTCTGTGGAGAAAAATAATGTTGACAACAAACAGTATACACTAAGAGCCTACACATTAAACAACTCATTATATTGAATTTTGCATGACAGGTACAGTACAGTAACAGATTACAAAAGAAAAATCAAACTTCAGGAGAGATTATCATGATGCTAGAGATACTTCCAGACTCCAATCACTTTGGAAATTCAATTATTCACTTCAACTTTTGTACATACATGATCATTCCTTTGATGTACAGCACTTACTAGTTCATTTAGTCATGCAGTACAACCTTAAAAATCTGGATCATTCAGATCCCTTTCAGATGTGTTAGAATTTCAGATTTAAAAGAAGAATTATTTTCAGTCAATTTTGGTGTTTTCGTGTCTTCTGTGTTAAATTTTTCTATAATAAAACCAGTCAATTATTGACAAAATATCTGAAAGACTGATGACTTACACTTCCACCCCTAGCCATCATGTTGATCCAAAGAGTGGATACTGGTCGTGCAGAGTGCTCAATACAGGAGCGGATTTCGCATTTGTAAGCATATTTGCCATCCTTCATGCTGAACACGTACACGGTGTTTGTCGCCATCTTCTCCTGGGCAATCAGCACCTATACACAGAAAAATTGTAATCATAACTTAGGATGAACTACAATAAATATACACAAAACAAATTTGTTCTAGACTGGGGGAATTCCTAATTTAACCACTTATAATTTAAAATCTGTATACTAGAAAGATCAGCATAAACTAATTAGTGTAGTTGAAATAAACTGGGAAGAAACTAATTATAATCCAGTACTAACTTTCTCTGAGCCGTTGATAATAAAATAGCCACCAGGATCAAGAGGACATTCGTTAACCTCGTGAAGGTCACGGTCAGTCAGGCCACTCAACAAGCAGTATGTAGACCGCAACATAATGGGGATCTTACCTGCAATTAAATTTTATTACAATAGAAGTATTTTAGTTTAAAAAAGACCAACTTCCAAATAAAAAATTACTATTTTATATATTTTTTCTCCGTGTTCGGAACAGTATTTAAAATATATACAGTACTATACGTATAAAAATAAGTACCCGTACAACCTAAACACCCAGGCCAAAGTGTAACATTAAAATTTCTCCTATTGAATCCAATATTTCCAAGTTAAAGTCACAATTTCAAACTTTAAAGTATTGATTCAAGTAACAAAATCTATACATACTGTATTTAAGATTTCTATCATACCGAGACCTGAATTTTTGAGGTTACACTATATAGTATTTGTATAGTAAGATGGCATTCTTTCCCCACATTCCATAAATGACCTCTGAACAGAAACTCTATAGCTATAACTACTAAACTACTCTCGCCTGAAAAGCCCTCCACACAATGGTGGGACCAGTTGAAAGCTCCAGTGGGTTATCAGCCACCAAGACAAACACTGAGAATTAAGGATAAACAGAAAACCCACACTCCAACATGCACCTACATGAGCAAGTACCAGAGATGCTTAGGACCAGGAGCAATCAAAGAATTAAAAAACTTAATTCAAGTAATACCTCCCAATCTCAAGAACTTGACTAGAATTCATCTGCTGAACCCGAGTGAAAACTGACTCCATCAGCACTTATAATTAAATGTAAAGGGACTCTAACCTTGGTTGCTGCTTCTGCTTGGATGCCTAGTAGCACAAAGGTGTACATCCTCAACTCAACTGAGGGACCCAAGTTCAATCCCCAGGCACAACAAATGGTAACTTCCTTTCACATGATGTGCCTGTTCACTTACCCGTTACTAGGTACCTGGGAGTTAGACAACTGTTATGGGTTGTATCCTGGAAAAAGTCAGCAATTGACTTATGGGAACATCGATAAACCTAGGTACGGCCCACCTGTCCCCAACAAAGGGTCTGCTGAGTGCATGAAACAGGCTCAAAATCTACACTAAGCAGACCACACACACCTCAGGTAATACTGACCCTTAACCCAGCACTTAAAATAAAGGCAGAAGGGATAACTTTATGTCATAAAACTGCATACAGCACCCCACAAGGCAGCATAAAGCACCAGTCGGCCAACATGTACACAAGAAATGTTGAAAGTAAATGTAATGAATAAAAAGTTCACAATACGAGCCCACTGCTCAGTCAATCCTGGGTTTTCAAGTATGAAAATAAGGTACTTGACAAAATTTGATATACAATTTGCCCAAATACATGAGGACTAAGCAAGAGCAATGTGGTAAGGGTAAGCATTCCATAGGATGCTGACCTCTCACAGTGTTCAAGAAAGAACTTGATAAGCATCTCCAAAGGATACCTGATCAACCCGGCTGTGATTCATACATCAGGCTGTGACAGCAGTATCCAACAGCCTGGTTGACCAGTCCAGCAACGAGGAGGCCTGGTCAAGGCCCAGGCCGCGGGGACGCCAAACCCCAAAACCATCTCAAGGTAGGTCAAAGTAGGTCATAAGATTGAGGATCAAGTGTCGCCTTGGGTCTTGCAATCTGGCACCAGTTGCACTAATCATACGTGCATTCAAATATTTTTTCTCGCATTTCCTTTTCTGTTAGGATTCCATACATGAATAAATTTGCTTAATCACCAACTTTTGTATTTCCAAGTCATACCCGGTACACAACCCTGAACCATTATATTCCACTAATGGCAATGTTCTCACCTCACTCCATGCATATGAAAGGATTCATGTGCTTGGATATTATCTGCAAGCATTAACCACAACTCACATTTATAGTATTAAATAACCACAACTCACATTTATAGTATTAACGAACCGAGAACCTTCGTGGCCTGATAAAGCATTCTTAGAAAGAATGATGATCGTTAATAATGGCACCACATGTTTCGGGAAGATCAATAACAGCTAAACTTCAAATAATAATGAAAACTTCTAAAATACAAACCAATATAAATCTTTTCTTCTTTTTGCTCTATGGGCTTCTCCCCTTCCCTGATGACTGTCTTTACTATGTCAACATAGAGCGGAGACGAGTAGGTGAGGTTCCTTAATCGTGCTTCATTGGGCATCATGCTATAGTTGTATCCATCTTTCTCCCAGTTTGTGGGCTTGCTCAGGTAAATCTGTTCAAATTTCAGCAAGTGACGAGGCTGCAAGACAAAAATGGCAATTATATTCATGAACAGCAATGAATTAAACAGAATGGTAAATTATGTAGCATTACATGTGAGGACATGTTGCTGTACTGAAATTTATGATACTGTAACTAAAATATTACTTTATTTAGTTTCTCCCACATGTGTTCCCCAGCTTCACGAGTCCAACATCAGCTTTGGTGAAAAGGACCAGTAAACACACTACTTTTATCATACAAGTAAATACTTACATTTTCATATCTTTAACACTTACAAATTAAATTGATAATTTTAATAAGAAAAAAAATTAGGGACACATGATATTCATATTGTATAGTCTAGTGCAGCATTTCTCAACCTTAGCACCCTTGAAAGAATTCCGGGTTGTAATTTAGATGCACACAGATGTCATTGTTAACCGAAAGGAGACAATTTCTGTCTCTGTTCTTGATACTGGTTAATGAGAAAAACTAAATACAAATATTATTCAAAAATATAATTACATATATAGTACAGCATAATAATTAGAATTACTGTATCTTATTTATTACTATCGCTTATGGGACCACTAGTTACCCTGGGGTTCCACGTACCTGTTTGAAAAATACTGTCTATTGAAATAATTTGTGTGGTATAGAAAGAAAGCTAACAATCTAAATTAATTAAATTTACTTTATTTCTTGGTAACTAAGATATCACAGTTAACCACAACAATGATCAAAAAATGTATTACAGTAAACACACTAATCACATTACAATGCTGAAAAGGTATAATAAAGTCAATTTAATTGGTTTACAGCTATGTGGAAATACATACAACTACTGTATACAGATATGCACAAACAATTGAGATTGTCAAGTGCGGTGTCCTTTTTGTGTAAGCCGGATAATGCTCTAATGTCAATTTCACATATACTGTAATCAAGAGACCAGTTATCTTGACCTATCGGGTTAAATTACCACAGACTTATTCGAGTCTTATAGGTTTTATGACAATTGCACAAAATTTATTCCAATCCCGTTGACAGTGATACCATACATCACTATAATTCCTGCCAATTCACATACCTAGGATTTTAACTGTGGCAAGAACAGTCATGAATACCAATTCTGGGTACTCTAATTATTTGTCCCATTAATCATAATAGTTAATTTTGTTGGGAGACAGGAAGCAATTGTATATACAGTATACAGTACATATTAGGTTTATATCTAGATCCTCCCCAGGATGCAACCTCACAACAAGCCGACTCCTCAGTACCTATTTATTGCTAGGTGAGCATTAAGTGACAGTAAACGCACCCAACCATTTCTGTTCCGCCCAGGATTCAAACCCGGTAATCTTGATTGTGAGTCGAGAATGAACCCGACTGTATTACCAGGACCCTTCATTGCCATAGGCTATATGTGCAATACCACTATGGGGTTAATAGTTGTAAGCTAACATATTGTATGATTAGTGCATAATACAGTACAATAGTTGGCTCCCAACCAATTAGATCCATGTTCAATTTCCAGGTAGAGAAGTTTGGGTACATTTCCTTACACTTGATGCCTGTGTACACCTAATAGTAAATAAGTACCTGGGAGCTGGGAATTAGGAGACTTGTGGATTATCTCCTGGGAAAGTCCAGTAATTGCCATGGGAGACCTCAGTAAGCCTAACTAGTTTCTTGTTACTGGCAATGGATAATGCCAAAACTTTTCTATTTGAGGATTAAGTAGTCTAACTCATTTATTTACAACTTAAAATTATCTAAATATTATCTAAAGATATCAACTTTAAAAATTACATGTTAGAAATATTTGTAATCACCTGGTAATCTTATACTAACACGATATTTAAAATATATTTCTAGCACAGGATATCTTCAAACAACTTACTGGAGTCTCGAGTTCACCGCCTGTATGCTGAGCCTCAGCTTGTAGATCTATAGCTTGAGAGTCTTCAACAATCCTCTGGATAGTCATGGTAATGAACTCATCAAAAGAGTCAAGTTGCTGTCGAACAAGACCTTTCTCATCAAAGTATGAGGAAATAACAAGCCAACAGGCTTCCTGCCAGATGTCTGGAGAGATTTCATCTCCATCTTCATCACCATAGGCTATATCTGAAAAAGAAAAAATCATGTAATGTATATCCAATAAAAAGTAATTTATTGGATGGCAAAAATGACAAACGAACAACAATTTCAGTAGTGATATCCAAGCAGTACTGGATCACGAAACAGGTCAGCAAATACCTTCATAGTATCAGCGTATCGGTATTAGTTAATAAGGCAGCACAGGAATTAAGTCAAAATATTGGTACAGTATTGTATCACCTCTATTTATCAACATTTTCTTCCTACTGTCTTCACTATTATTATAATTATTTATACATACAAGAGTTCTTACATTCTTGTACAGCCACTAACATGCATAGCATTTTGGGCAAGTCAATACAGTACTATACAGATGATACAGTACTATAGCACTGTATTATCCTTTGCAAATGACGAGAGGATTTTTATGAGTGCAGACAATATAGAGGACATAGCAAACCTCCAATCTGATGTAAATCAAGTCTTTCAATGGGCAGTAGATAATAATATAATGTTTAATGAAAATAAGCTCCAGTTCCTGTGCTACAAAAGAAATTAAAATATAAAAGGGGAAACCACATATAAAACGCAGTCATATCACACTATAGAATGAAAAAGCAATGTAAAGGCTGTGGGAATAATCAAGTCGGAAGATCTTACCTTTAAAAATAACAATAAAATAGCCTATCACGACTGCAAGATAAATGACAGGTTAGATAACAAGAACCTTTCAAACGAGAGATGCTATACCAATGATGCTACAGTACTTTTAAGACGCTAGTGCATCTAATCCTAACGTTTCTAATTCTAAGGTCTGCCCCCCTCACCACGACTCTAAGATTGAGCTCCTCTTGCGACGTGAAGGACCACTTACCCTCGTCAATGTCGGCGTAGGCCAACATCTTGCCTTACTTGCAAGGTCACTGGTGCCCCCAGAGACAAACTGTGTGGCAGGAGGTGGTGTTATGTTGATTTAGGGGCGACACAGGAGCTCCCGGCCCCAGCTGCGAGCATCAACACAACAATGATGACCGTCGCCGCAATTGAGGAGCACAATGCGCACAGTTTGTAAAAACCCGTAGCGGCCTCGCTATACTTCCATAAACCTAATTATATTTCTCTAATTATTTATTCAATCAAATTTGATCTAACAGCCGGTAGTAATGTACTGTCTCTTGTCAGTAGTGTGCTGTCTCTTGTCAGTAGTGTGCTGTCTCTTGTCAGTAGTGTGCTGTCTCTTGTCAGTAGTGTGCTGTCTCTTGTCAGTAGTGTGCTGTCTCTTGTCAGTAGTGTGCTGTCTCTTGTCAGTAATCTGCTATCTCTTGTCAGTAATGTGCTGTCTATTGTCAGTAGTGCACTGTCTCTTGTCAGTAATGTGCTGTCTCTTGTCAGTAGTGTGCTGTCTCTTGTCAGTAGTCTACTATCTCTTGCCAGTAGTGTACCGTACTACCCCAGATGAAAGGAAACGTGCCCAACTGTTTCAACCCTGCCCGGATATTGAAAACGAGTCCTTCAGTTGTGAGTCGAGGATGTAGACCACTGTGCTATAAGATTCTTAGCACGGCTCTAGCCATGGGTTGTTATAGGCAGGTTAGCATAACTTTACAGTACTTCCCATTTGAAGACATTGCATTATAATTTACATACAACAATACAATTTGGAGGATGTTGATCCGCACTTCATAAGGTCAGATGTAACACAAACATTTATTTATTTATTTATTTATTTATTTATTTATTTATTTATATATATACAAGAAGGTACATGAAGGAACATAGAGAATTTGTTTCAAGCTCAACAAGCCACAATGTAGGACTGACAGCAAGAGATGCTTTTCCACCCATAGGGTTATAAACCCATGGAACCGCCTACCCGCCGAAGCCGTAAATGTCAAATCTCTGCTGAACTTTAAAACCCAGATGGAAAAGATCATCAGGACAAATGGGTGACATTTGACAAGCCACCGGCTTCCTGTCTTCATCGAGGCCACTAGAGTGTTGGTAGCCCTCAGGTAAATTCAGGTAAATTTGCCATTTTTTTTTATATAAGCATTTACAATGTGCAAGTTTCTATTGATGTTGATAGGAGCAAGATATATTTGTTGTATGTTTGTAACTAGTTAGTTACAGTAACATTGTAACTACAATGGGTATGTAACTAGTTAGATAATTTATTATGTTCATATCTGTATAGCTTTTGGAGGTGTCTGTGATTTATAACTGTTAACCAACCCGTCCGCGATTCAAGTCCATTCCATCCAGCGGTCGACCCCACAAACGCATTCATAAATTTTAACATGCTGTTCATTCAAAACAGGAATTTTCTCAAATAGAAATTAATATAATAATATATTAGCATATTGTGGATATATAGGCATAGGTTAGGTGTTTAGGTTCTGTTGGCGATTATTTGTACAATATTTGCTAGCGGCGTGAACCACCTCCACCAGCGGGTAGTTCGGCCAGCAGTTAGCGGGGTGGTGTCGGGCGGCGAGGACCGTTCTAGTTAATACTCCCACCCGGTAAGCATTATATGCCCTCCAAATTGTAACTCTTCTCATCAGTAATAAATCTTGATAATTATGGATCAACGCTACAGGAAGGGTTGAAGAGGTTTAACGGTTGTAAGGAATCAATAAAGTGTTATAGAGACAGGGCGGCACTGTACTTAAGGTCTACATCTCATTAAATGCCTCGTTAATGTCTTTTGAGCCACCCTTAATATTAGTACTGGTACAAGTACCTGAGCCTCCCACATAATTGTCGAGTGTTGCTGGTACACTAGACTAGTTAATTGTATTCTTAATAGTTCCCCACCACGGTAGCACCCATGGTCGCTCCAGAGCCTGTAACACCCACTTTCTAGTACTGCTCCTTCAGTTACCTTTAGTGACAAAATCATACTTTGTTCACAGTAGGCAAAAGATGACGGGTTTTGTTCACTGTAGGGGGGAGACGACGAGAGGAGGGAAGGACCTTGGAGTAGAGATCCACCATTCGTTAGAAGTTGCACAACAGGTGGGTGCAGCAGTTAGAAAAGCTAACAAAACTAATGGTCCAACTGTATTAATCTCTAATGCGCCTCCACCTAGATTACTGTATTCAAGCATGGAGACCTCATTTTCAGGAGAACATAGCTGTTCTAGAGAAGGTGCAACACCGGGCAACAAGTTATTCTAAAGCTTAAATGAATAAAAATTTGAAATTGAAAATGAGTCACGACATGGATTTACAAATGGCCGTTCATAGTTTAACAAATTTATCATTTTATTCCCTCGTAGTTGAGGCAATTGATAGTGGTAAGGTTTACGATGTTGTGTACCTTGACTTTAGCAAAGCATTTGATACAGTGCCACATGAAAGACTGATTAAAAAGATAGAGGCTCATGGTATTGGGGGTGCTCTATTAAGTTGGATGGCTATACCAAAGGAAACAGTATAAATGGGGTTAAGTCAGACTGGGGAAAATGCGGGGTGCCTTAAGGCTCTGTCCTGGGACCTCTGTTATTTATAATATATATAAATGATTAGATTCAGGTTAGAGCAGCAACACTTGCAAATTTGCAGATGAAACAAAAATCGGGAGGGAAATAAACACGAAAAAAGACTATCACTTCAAGGCGATCTAAATAAGGTTTTGAAATGGTCAAAAGATTGGCAGATGCAGTTAAATGCTGACAAATGTAAGGTTTTGAGGCTGGGTAGTGATGATAGTTACAAGAAACGTGTAGATAGTGTTGAGTCGCAAAGTCGGATTGCGAAAGGGATCTGGGAGCTATGATTAGTAAGAATTAAAAACCAAAAATAAATAAATGCTTAAGTGTTCGTAATAAATAAATAAATGTTTATTTAGGTAAAGTACATACATACAAGAAATTTTTACAAAGATTGGTTGACTTATAGGTAGAGCTAGTACATACAATGCCTAAAGCCACTATTACGCAAAGCGTTTCGGGCATGAAAAGGCAAATAGGCAAATAATAAAGCAAATAGGACATAGGATTTATTAATTGAAGTTAGTAACAAGACACCTGGTGTTCTTCAGCCGTGTCTTGCTCTAGTTAGGCCCCATTTAGATTATGCAGTTCAGTTTTGGTCGCCGTACTATAGAATGGATATAAATTCACTAGAACGTGTCCAGCGAGGGATGACAAAAGTTAATTTCCCAAATTAGAAACCTGGAATTTTAAATTCCAGGTTTCCAGGTTCGAAATTCCAATTTCCTGAATTGAAATTCAGGAAAACCTGAAACCTGGTGAGGGAGGGGGGTTCGTTGTCCTTATGAAGAAAGATTAACAAAGCTTAAATTGCATTCACTGGAAAGGCGAAGAGTGAGGGGTGACATGACAGAGGTTTACAAGTGGATGAATGGACATAACAAAGGGGATATTAATAGAGTATTAAAAGTATCAACACAAGATAGAACACGTAATAATGGGTATAAACTGGATACGTTTAGATTTCGGAAAGACCTGGGTAAATACTGGTTAGGAAACAGGGTTGTTGATTTGTGAAACCAGTTGCCACGTGGCGTAGTTCGTGGAGGTGGGGTCCCTAGATTGTTTCAAGAGTAGGTTGGACACGTATGAATGGGATTGGATGGTTATAAATAGGAGCTGCCTCGTATGGGCCAATATGCCTTCTGCAGTTACCTTCATTCTTGTATTCTTAGCCATCTCTCGCATCAGGAATGCTTGAAGGCCACAGGGCTAACAACACTGCAAACCAGGCATGACAGGGCGGATCTCATTGAAATTTTTAAAATACTGAACAAGTTAGAGGATGTTGATCAGGATATTTTCTTCAGAAGGTCAGATGTTACGCATACAAGAAGCAACGGTTTCAAGCTCAAAAAGCCACAATGTAGGACTGAGAACAGATTTTTTTTTTCACCCACGGGGTTATTAACCCATGGAACCGCCTACCCGCTGAAGCCGGTAATGTTAAAACAGTGCTGAATTTCAAAATATATCTGGAAAAGATCAAAAGGCAAATGGGGGAGACCTTCGACAAGCCGCCGGCTTCCTGTCCTCGTCGAGGCCACTAGAATTAGTGGCCCTCAGGTAAATCAGACTGGGGGGGGGGGTTCGTTCACTGTAGGGACTGGGGGGGGGTTTGTTCGATCACTGTAGGGACTGAGAAGGGAAGGGTTTGTGGGGTGATGGGACTGAAGGGGGGGGGGGGTTGTAGGTGAAGGTGGGGGTTCGTGCGTGACGGAACTGAAGGGGAATGGGGTTCGTGGGTGACAGTAGGAACAGAAATGGTGTAAGTAATTATCAGAAGTGGTAAGCACAAAAGGCTATGTAGCACCTCTTTCACAGTAATCACGAGTTCAGAGAGATCCAGGATGCCAGTTACAGATGAAACACGTATGAACCAGATTTAGAATATTTTATTAAAGGATGTGTGACCAGAGAAGTGGAAAAGCATTGGGTCACAGTAGGGGAAGGGGAAGTTCCTCTCATGTCAGGAAACACTTTTGCATTCTAATTGATCACATTGAGTAGTGAGAGTTCACTACATGCACTAGTATAACATAAGTGTCATCCTATCACAAATTATTTCATTCTAACCACAATGTATGCTGTCTTGTATTTATATCGAGCCTGATTTATAAGGGAACTTTAGCAGTACGATTGACTGTGACGTAACAACTGATATTGAGAGTCTTCATGCCCCATAACACTCCTGGAATTGGGGTTTTGATGCCCTGGCATGGAGCACCCGTAGTCAAACCAGTCACACTCGTGGACAGTCAGAACAACATCGTAACGGGTGTGATTGCCTTCGTGCTGAGTAGCATGGTTCTGGCATACATGTTCCTGTGTTGTCACATCTGGGGTCTCCATCTTCGGCTCTTCCAACTGCTCAGATGTACTCCATCCCATGATACCAGGTGAGCTTCAGTTTGTACTAAATATTAAAATGCTAACATTTAAATTCTTACATCCTTCCCCTGTCTAACTCCTCACTTGATCATTACCATGGCTTGGTGGGAGCCCAGGTGCTACAACCATTGGGGCGTCAACATGACGGCATTCAGAAACAATGAGGCAAAATGCCATCATTTCATTCTTTTCCAGAATACAATTTGTGACCCCATGTCTACACCTACTGTATACTCAATGATAAAGCCCAATGTCGGCTATTTTTTAGTTTTCTTTATTTTATTTTATTCATTACAGGTGATACCACTGATTACCATAAGTAGGAGAGAGAGAACTGTGGATAATGATGGATGTAGCCTAAGGCAAAACAGTGGTGACGTGGTAATCATCAGAGTTTGGTGATTTAGGATGCTATAACGAAGGTCTCTCATCATCTTCCCCTTAGAAATGCTTCTAGAAACCAATGATTGAAACAGGAAGATAAATGACAGCTCATGATGCCAGGTCCAATCATATTTTAGATAAAACCAGCTATTGAGAATATCTAATCAATGAGTTTGATGTAAAAAGGGATGTCATAGTTTCCTCCTGCAACATATATGATGTAGAAAGTGATGGAGATCACTCCAGTGTCATGTGGTGGAAGGAGAATCTACTAAGGTCATTGATTTTATTTGAGGAGTAAATCCTGGCTAATGATCGGTAGTATTTAATGAGTGTGTACCAGGTGATCTAAAGAAAGCAGTCCTGCCCCAGCTTAAGACGTTCAGGTCAGAAGGGAGTAGACTCGGATTAAGGCATGGTTTTCAGTGTAGACGGCTCCAGTGAGAGGGGCTGCTGTTGTAGTTCCCACTCATAGGCAACTTCAGTATCTTCATGATTGTTGAGGCTATAATGACCAATATTACATAGTACAGAATTAATTTTATAATATGGTTTTCCAATCACACAGAGGAAACCTCTTAGTCTTGCAAAGTCATCCTAAGACAATAAATTACCTTCCCCAGGATACAACCCACAACAGTTGTCTAACTCTCGGGCACTTGTTCACTGCTAGGTGAACACACACATCTGGTTTAAAGAAATGTCCCCAAATGTTTTTGTCCTGGAGCCTTTTGGCCATGACACAGTTGAACCAGTTTCATTATTTTTCAGGATTTTTTGAGCTGGAATTTTTTCAAAGTAATCTACTGTACTGGTAATTTATTTGGGTGCAGTTTTATTGCGTTTTGGAGAACATCTTGAAAATTAATATTTTCTGTCATTTGCATGTTTTTTTCTTTTAATCACTTTTCTGAGGTAGAGTTAGGAAGACCCTGTGAGCTGTTCGGTGTGGCTTGTGATGCTTCTCTTCTCGCCAATGGATAGGAGATGGTATTCTGTTCTGTAGGAATGAGACATATGGTCCTGTTGGGCCATGGAATCTATTTTCTGGGTTGATTTTCAATGGGGCAGTTGAAACAAGATTGTGATTCTAACCCAATTGTTGGATTACTGTATTTTTCAGGCTCCAATAACCTTCTTTAAATTATCAATTATCTGTGTATCATTTATTAAAATGTTAAAAACGTTTAAATTGTACTTTCAATACTTTGGCAAGACATGATTAGGTATGCATCTTTTAGCAATGAAAGAGCTGTGCACCGGAGGTCAATCTCCCTACCTGTAAATATGGTCCACCTGCGTGGTGGTGATGCCATGGGTGTGCTTCCTACTGGGGGAACTACAGCACCATCTGTAACTCCTCCCCCACGCTACTCCGATGTGGTGGATCCTCTACCTTCATACAGCTGTGCTCTCAGACGTGCCGTGAGTCTTGCTTCTGTGTCTGGCACTTCATCTTGCACTGCACTTCATCTTGAACCTAGTCCATGCTTCAGTTGCTGGATCCCATCTATTAACTTGCTCATCCATTTACTATGGACCTTAACATGGTACATCGTATTTGATATCCTGGGATTCTTGTCCATAGATTATCTCATTTCTCTTATGGACCCTGTTAATTATATATTAGATACAGTATAAATGAAAACCAAGTATGGGTTATAACTTATTTATGGTGCATTTTAGTGATGTTAATTATGAATTGTGTATTACTATGGCAGGAGAGCACTACATGTACTGTATAGATTAATATACATATCAAGATACAAATATGATATGACTGATTAAATTGAGATTATTAGTGTGAATTGGGGTATTTTTATCATTAGTATTTGTGAATTAGAGGGAAGGGAATATTTTTAGGCAAAGTGCATACAAAAGATTGTTGAGCGATGCTTCTTAGGAGATATACGGTATAGGAAGAGTTTTGTCTAAGGATAAAAAAATTGCAGTGATATAATTGAGAATATTAATGTTAGTAGTTGAAATTAAAGACTTGTATATATTGGAGGGATGTGTTTGTGTTACTTAGGATGACTGTGATGTTTGAATGTGGAAATAAGTTTAAGAATGATAAAGCAATTAGGTGCCATGTTTGTTTAAAATATGTCCCTTAATGCAATTTTTAAAGTGCTTGAAAGTAGGATCTTGCAAGAAATATAATGGGTTGTATAGATTTGAGTTTGTTCTAATTTTAACATACATGTACTTTGTCCTACAAGTTTGGAGTTAATTTGCTTTTGTTTTACCCAATTTTACAGGTAACTGTGGTAGGTCAGCCATTGCACTGTCGCATCACAGTGTGGGGCAGTAGCGATGAAATTCTCAACAACTCTGTGTTTGTCGGAGATTCCTCGCCCCACCTTGACCATAACAGCCCAGCTGTGCCCCTACCCTACATGGCATGCAATCATATCCCAGTTCACACTCCCACCAGCCTGAGCCTACCTCCCTGTATGTATGCCAACTGTGGATATGTTAGGAATTTAAGTGACACTCGTTACCCAGCATCTGGTCATAGTACTCAGGGTTCTACTACCTTGGCCACTACCATCCATCCCAGTCGAGAGACTCCTCACACTCGCACTCCTGTCAATAATAATGCAACTACTGAAAGCACAAATGCAGGCAACTCTAATATAGTGAGGATGATGTCCAATGGTAGCAGATATGATTCGACGAGGTTCCAAATACATAACGAAGACAAGGTGCACCACAGCCAGTCGGGTGATCGGCCTTTCCAACCGGCTTCCTCTAAGCAACTAAACCGGTTAGTTGATATGCATACAGAAAGTTTCTCTAGGTATTGTGCTCTCGTTTTCCGTGAGAATAGTTACTTTGGATGCGGGGATGGGGGCAGTATTGCGTGGTTTATGGAAACCAATCTTTTGGCCATTGGAGAGGTAAGAGATTGTCTACACCTTGCTTATATGCTATCCATGTATTTATCGTGCATCGAGTCTGCATACTAGGTTTCGCCTTCATTTGGAAGTTTATTTGCTAGGAGCAGCTGCAGCTTTTCTGGGTCAACAAAATTCTTTAGTGAGGAATCGATCAACTGTCATCCTTCTCTGTACACATTAAAGAGAAACTGCTCATTCTGTATTTCTAGATAAGAATCCCATTACATTAGGCTAATAGGAATACATTATTCTATTAGCCTTAATTTCACATTTATAAATTGATTTCATGGCTTAAAATTCCAACTAATCATGACTCCCAGGTCTTTTTCACATTCCAGTTTAGCCAATACTGTTGGCCACATGTATCTCATTACTTATATTCTATGCTCAAGAAACTATATTTGCAAGGAATAAATTTCTATGCCAATTTTTATCTACAGTACAGTATTTTTAAGTCTATTTAAATTGTCTTGTTTTAAGAATTTATTTTAGCCTATTTTAATGTCATTGGTAAATTTTCTAATGTTAGTTGAGGGCTGTATACTGCAAGTTTTTTTTTATACATAAAGTATGGTATAAAAAACAGGTATCAGGAGAGAGCCATATGCCACTTCATTTAAAACTACAGTATTTACCACCTGGACCCGACTCCGTTAATGCTAAATGCCTGTATCCTTTGAAATTACTGTACCATAATCTACTCTAAAAATCCCCACCAATACCATATTTTAGTTTCTTAATTTTCATCAGATACCTGATTGAAATGTTGGACTTTTAACCCCCTACACTGCTCCAATGTGCACCACGATGTATACTTATCGATGCAATGTTCACGGGTTAAAACCCACTTGTAAAATACTGGACTTGAGAAAGCTCAAATGTTAGAACTAGTCTAGATAGTAATGAGTACATTTTGAATGATGCCTCCTTATTCATTATGTATCTTGCATAATGTGTGCCCAGCACTATACTATAGCACATCGTACCAAGTGAGGTATTATTACATAATCAGAAGCCATAGACAAGGATGAAGATGATTGCCCCATACTTCCAGGCAGTATGTTTTGCATAAAAAACATTTAATCAGAGTAATAAACAGAAGATTATACCAGACAGACCAACTTGATGCTGCTTAATATCACACAAATAATCAATTGTGCAACTGTTATACAGAAGTATAATTGTACACAAAATTAATATCTGTACTATGATAATGCACACCATATAAATTCTAGACCATCAAAGCCTAGAATAATGTAAATTCATAAAAAATTAGTTACATTAATGTTGTCGGATCTACACTATACAAAGTTATAAATATCAACAAAATAACTAATGTGAAATATGTTGCAGTTAATTAATAATTAATTGCAATAATTATTATGCAGCTAATTAAAAATGTCAATTTTATTATTTAAATTCTAGATAATTATGATAAATCTTGGTGTATCTTGTCAACAGTGCTGTAGCTTCACACTAGTCAACTGGGTAGTCACTCCAGCAGCAACTACAGCAGTCACTCGCGTGCATAACCCTATCTCCCCACAACAGTTACAAGCAGTCCTTTGATTTTAACACTGAATGTCACAAGAAAACACTTGACACAAATTTATCAAGATAGCATTGGTCAATGATTAGCTGCAGTAGAGCGAGTTGCTCCCAACTGCTACAAAATACTGTACAGTATTACTGTTTTTAAAAGAGGGACTAAAACATTATGGCCAGTATTCTGTATTTGGCCCTGTTATTAGGACAAGACACGGGGGAATACCATAGTTTCATAAGTCGCCCAGTTTTCCTTCTAATCTGTAATAAACAGTGTTATTAATGTGTTTTAAATTATCTAATAGCATTTAATTAGCACAGGGAAATTATGAATTCAGCTCCCAATAGCACTCCTAGACTTTTGCAGTTTATCCAAAGCCATGTGGAAAAGTTGGTCAAAACAGCTTTGTCTACACGTAACATGCTTGTCTCTGAAGCCAGGCATTGACACATGTATGCATAATAAAATGGATTAGGCAAGGAAGTATCCCTCCTGGAATATCCAAATACTGTACTGAATGTATATACTGTACTGTACTATGCTAAAGCTTTCTAATGTATTCTCTGAAAAATTTTCAGACATTGTATGACTGTTCAAAATGGCGTTGTGATATTTCAGAGAGGAGCAGCAACAGTGTCTGCGGCTGTGGGTGAAAGGTGACGAGCAGAGTCAGGAGCAGTTGGTGTATGCTCGGAGGACATCTGGTGACCGCTTTGTAGCCTACTGGACCCCCCCACACTTCGACCCTCACCACGCCCTCCACTTCCAGGTTATTGACTTCAGTGTATCTTATCACCGGGTCTACTTTAGTGATCCACAATACCCTCCACTTCAGTGTTCACGCTCAAACTTTATCTGTAGTTTGGTGCTCCCTCTTGTCTCGCTTCTCACATCCAGGTTAATTACCTGCATGTCTTGTGTTCCAAAGACAAAGTTAAAGATTTTTTCATTGTTTAAAAAGGTCTCAAATTTGAGTGGTCATTAGGTGATTAAATTTTACTTCAAAAGTTCTGTAAAATCCAAGATTTTGCTTCACGAGACTTCTCAGTTTTAATATTAGTCTTCCCAGAATCTGATGTATCTGCACTCCCAAGTATAATCTAGCACTGTTCTCTCATCATGGGTACTCGTCTCCATTTCCTATGTACTGCATCTGTTGCTAGCTGACTTCCTATTCACACAGTTTGATCAGGCTGACACAGCATTGAAATCTTTTACATTTGTGATTTAGACTGGTAAAATGTTTGCAGTCCAGTCTATTGGCATGTTCCGGACTGTAAATATTCTGGGCAGCTTGCGGGCCACTCGATGATTGCAATTTTTCTTTTAAATCATTTAAAGTTTTCTAACTTATTTGTTGGCGTATAACCATAAATTTGTCAATGTTTGCAAATGAATTGTCTAGAGAATAGATGCTAAAACAATATTGAATTTTAAATACAGTAGGTGATGAATATATGAATGTTCATGAACAGCATTCAGATGACGCGTTTTAGCATCACCAGAATGTTTACTGTAGGAGAACCAATATGCGTTTGTCTTTGGAACATTAGTGTTAATAAAATAATTAATTCACTTCATTTTTTAACTTTTCTCAATTACAGTAGAATAAGCACCTTCTGTCCCACAAGGAATTTTTGTATCAAGATTGTAGAAATTTTATCCTGTGTAGTGTAGTTTGAAAAGTTAACTTTCTGGCAGGTTATGGAGTGCAAATGAACAAAGCTACATACATTTTAGACTATCATGTCTTTTTACTCCTCTTGGTATGGTGAGTAAATGCCTAACCTCATACCCATATAGTAACCACCTACATACATTACCCTATTTCTCTCTTCATGAGGTGGGGAGGCAAACAGGATCTTATTTAATGGCTTTGTCCCCACTGATTTACTTGGCATGCATAATATATCTTCAATGTGGTCTTAAAAACTGGTGTAGTTCCAGCACTTCTTGTAATTCGTGATGAAATATACTGCAATAGTTTTTGGTCATGCATGTCTGAACAATTTAAGGTCAATATATGTACTCTGGTCTGACTTATCACTTTGGAGATGTCAAACCCAGAAAGAACCTGTTATAAATTTGTTGACCTTTCATTGTGGTCTTACAAATTATTAGAAACGTTGCTACTTCTTGGAAACGTGTTGCTGTAGCCTATACATAATGGTTAAGATATTTCAATTTAGTATCCTCAGTTACAGTACAAAAAAGTATTCAAATACTTTTGAATATTTCATCAAAAAGCAGACTGGGTATCAATGGTGTATGATGAATGACTCGTATTGCCAGCTTTATCACACTGCCCACAAAATACAGTATTTCTTCCCATTATTAATTCCTGGAAATGGAAATATTTCCCTTATTAGATACTGTATATTAGCTATTCTCTTATCTGGTGCAGTATATTAGCCATTGTTTCTCTTCAATAATGGTCTCACTATGTTCAACCTTCACCTGTTATCAGCTTGAGCATAGTTTAAGTCCTTCTTAATAGGTAAAGAATGAGAGAACACTGTAGGGATATGCCGTGGTGCCGGTCAACTACACTTTTGACGCTATCAATTTAACAATAATGGCAAGTCTGACCTAAAGGGAAGACACACATTTGTTTAGTAAATGCAAATAAATTTGTTACCATTACAAGCGTAATTAATAATAGATTTATCAAATTAGATACTGTATCTAAACATAGTAAAATTCAAGCTTTTTGGGTGGTTTAATTAGCATGTGCTTATTTAAACTTTGACATACTAATGAAGCACAGAAAATTTACTAATGAGCAAAAAAACCACTAAAAATGGCAAAAACAACCGATGTTGAAGCGATTATCTTGTTTCATAAATTGTTAAATGCTTGTTTAACATGATGGTGCATGTGTGTTGCAGGTAGTGGTGGAGGGCAGGCCTGTGGACATGGCGCATGTTGAGTTACTGGACCTGCACGGCACACGACTCGCCCTCACTCCTCTGACGCTCTTATCACCTTGTCACTTGTCGTCTTCCCCCAACACTTTGACAGCTACATCAAATACTACTTTACCCAATACTCCAGAGGCTGGTTCTGCTACAACTTGAGCAACCTTAATAGCCTAAAGAAAATTTTGCAAAAGTACCATGTGACAGGATGCCAGAAGGCATCGTGTACAATCTGAGCTGTCTTGCCACTTTTGTGAGAATCTTGTTTGTTAATATAAATTTGATAGTTTTAAAAATTCCTTTTTATTACCATTGTCAATTTTTATAAAACAAATTTGTCCAACTTCTCTTAACTAAATATATTGTTTATACTGTATGCAATATATATATTGGATATACAGTACTGTATGGAAGTACAGTATTCAAGCATTGACACAAAATGCAACTATCAAACAAGTAGAACACCTAAAAAATTTAATGATCAACAACTTCAGTGCACTTAACAGCACTGTACAAGATGCTGTACAGAATCCCACTGTCTGTTGCCAAGTAACATGTGGGTGGAATAGCAAACTATTCCACCTATTTCAAGCCAGTCATTAAGCAAACTTACCAACAATCTCCAGGATGTAACCCACACGTTACTGAACTCGCAGGACCAAGATTCCTCAAACATTTACATGTCCATTTAAACTTCTACATCTCTCCTTAATCGTGGTGCCCGTCTCTATATTGCTGCTAGTCGTCGGGTGATAGGTTTAGATAAATTTGCCAATGCCCTGCTTGGAAATCTGTCGGGTCAACTGGGCGAGCCGCCTGCACTAACTACTGCGTAGAGTTGGCTGTGTGATCTATGGTCTGCCTCAATGAAGGAGTTGGGTTCTCTCATAAATAATAGACTGGACTGAACCTGCTACCAAACCAAGCTGGCATCAGAACCAACCTTGTCTTAACCTACAGCAAGGTCAGTCACAAAGCTACACTTTGACTCCCCATATTCATTGATAACCGAGTACTCGTAGGTAAGCACCTTTTTTTTTTTTTTTTTTTTTTTTTTTTTTTTAAAAAAGATATATACAAGAGTTGTTACATTCTTGTACAGCCACTAGTACGCGTAGCGTTTCGGGCAGGTCCCTGGAATACGATCCCCTGCCGCGAAGAATCTTTTTTTTTCATCCAAGTACACATTTTACTGTTGCGTTAAACAGAGGCTACAGTTAAGGAATTGCGCCCAGTAAATCCTCCCCGGCCAGGATACGAACCCATGACATAGCGCTCACGGAACGCCAGGCGAGTGTCTTACCACTACACCACGGAGACTGTGAAGACTGTGTAAGAGGAGACTTACATTAAGGCTACTCTATTATCCTGCAACAATACACTAAAAAAATTAAGCAGTGGAAAGGTACTGTGTAAAATAAATAAATGTGGGGGGAGGGAGGAATATATAAAAAAAAATTCCTTGCTCTAATTAGTCTGAGCTCCAAGTTGAACCTCAACATTTATTTTGCCACATGCACCAGATGCAGCTGTGTATTTGTATGTAGGGGAGAACAGTTTAGTTTGAACTTCTTGTGCAGTTTCATTTTCAAATATGATAATTCAAAATGAGAATGAAAGGATTTTGTTGAGCAGGATGATAGACAAAAGTATCGAAAGTGAATTTGATAATTCATGGCGTCTTGACTTTTAAACAAAGCGAGAGCGGTCATTAAAAGGAAATTATAATTTTATTTAGTTATATAATGTCTGTCTGTGTCTTTAGTTATATAATGTAATAATGTCCATCTGGTTGCTTACCAGGTAAACAACCAGATGGAAGTGTTGATCGAGTATCTTGTATGGTCACCAGGATACTGTCTCCTGCAAGACGAGCGACAAATTCTTGCCTAATCCAGTAGTAATTACCCAAGTGAAGTTACAGGATAAGCACTACTGTATTGTCTTCTCTAATTTTTATCATGACATTGAAATGTACCAAAAATGTGATTTTGGCACATTTGTGTTCTAACCTTGAGTCTGTGACTCCCTTGTTCTAGCTGGTTTTTAAAAATTCCTCAGTGTTAACTTTGTCAAATTCTTTCATGAATTTGTGATTATCTCCTTTTCCTTCTATCTACTAGTTTCTGCATGTTTAACACACAATTATCAAAAAGTGTATTGTTCCCACCCTTTTTTTTAATATGCATGTGTGTACAGAATCAGACTACAGTGGTAACCTTTGTTTTCTAATATAATGTTCCCAGAGACAGTTCAACAACCGAAAATTTGACAAACTAATTTTCCCATAAGAAATAATGTAACTTTAATTAATCCGTTCCACACCCCCAAAACATTAACTTAAAAATACATTTTATACATACTGTAGTACAAAATATTAGTAGTGTGTAAGAGTATATCTTGCCTTTGAGGACTCTTGTTGGCATATGGAAGACAGTGAGGAAAGGGGGAAAAGGCAAGGTGTTAGTGGTTTGGAAGGGGAGTCCCCTTCGATTATAACAGTAGTGATGACATTTCTGGGGTAGTCCCTTATATTTTGCAGGCATACCACTAGGACCTGGTTGTGGCTCACTGCTTGCTTGTCTTACTAAGAATCTGTCTATAGACGCTTGTTTTTCCGTATGTTTTAACACTTGTCTGTAGCGAGACGTCACATTCTCACTACGAATGATCTCTTGTTTTTCCTCTTGTCATTCTCGCATCTATTTTCTTAGGTTGAACTTTACCACTGACTTTCCTGGGACCCATGGCATGATATATAATAACTTATGTTCAGAAACCAAAAGGAGCACAAAAACAATGAAATGCTTCACAAAGAATTCAAACGTGATCGTCACTAGGCGGGAGACACTGGTAAACTGAAGTGCATCATGTACTAGGTCGGCCCATACGTGCATCAACAAACTCAAGCACCGAGGAAAATCTCGAATACAGAGTCAAATTTTTCCAAGAAATTGAGTTCAAGAACTGAAAAACTAAAAAAGACAGGCATTCGAAAACAGATTCCACTGTACTGTACTACTAATTCCTGTTAGCAGGCAGAGAGCTTTCTCTTCCTATAGTTCATGGCAAGCCTTACTCTACTAGTTTTGTTCTGGAACATGACCTGCCAATTAGTTAACAACCAGACACCCAATTATTGCTGGGTAAATAGGGGGCCAAACTTAAGGATTAGCACCCAGGCAATTCTCCCTGGCCAGGACTCTAACCTGGATCACCTTGTTTGTGAGGTGCAAGGCAAGTGTACTACCACTGGACCACCCTTGTGTGTGTAAAGACCTAAGCGTAGTTACAGGATGAGAGTTACGCTCGTGGTGTCCCGTCTTCCCCTCACTCTTTCATATAACACTTTGAAACTTTGTGTGTGCATACATGTTCTTTATATACAGGCACTGTGTCCAATTAATAAAGTATTGTATATTTTTACAGTACTCCAATCATTTCTCCAATGTATAAAAAATATTGTATAACACAAATATAAAGCTAGTGTGAATTTATATTTAATTTTGCCTCCAGATCACACGAACATTAAAAAATACAAAAAATTGGCAGTTTGACTTCAGTTTATTTCTTTAAGAAACAAAAAAAAAAAAAAAAGCTTGTTAAAAATTCCCAATATCAAATTCCTTGCTTATGAACATGTAACATGAAAGGAGAAAGCAATATGCTGTACATGCTTGTATGGATAAATATTTCATAGTGGTAATCTACAGTATAACAATGTTTAAGGCTTAATACAGTATCACTTTTGCACCTTCTTGAACCACTTCGGAAGTTTAGGTACAGCGCCAGTGTTTCGGTTACTTGCGTTTGTCCTCTTACTGTAATGACTTTCTTCATTCTCCCTCTCTGTGGCTGTAGACACTTTACTTGAATTTGCAGAAACCGAACATCCAGAGGAGGTTGCAGCGGTAATTTGTCGACGTTGCCTGAAATTCAAGAGCATCTCACTAAAATGAGAAAATATGCTTGCAAATAATGCTCAAGAGTACTTTCATATACAAAACAAGATATAATATGATTCCAGTTTGGCAAGTAGGAATGCATTTTTAGGCTAGCATATCTTGATATACAGAGGGCGATGCACAAGTACAGTGTGTGTGTGTACACCCTCATGGAATATCCCATTTTTTTCCAGGATCAAAAATTTAGTTTTCCTGCCACCTCCCTCTTAATTTAATGTCCCTTGATAAAATAACCCGAGAAATTAGATGTGGAAAAAGGAGGGGATATGGATAATGTGCCAGGAGGCATGGAATAGGACCAGAGGACTGGAAAAAAGATAAGTGACTTTAGTAGATAAGTACCACTTTATACAAATAAAGAACAACATAGTAAGAATTATAAAGGCATTAGCTGATCAGGTGTAGTGGACAAAGCACTTGGTAAGATAGTGATAAGAGTACAGGAAATTACAGAGAATTCAGTAATTTCTAGAGGCTGATTGGTAGAAGAGGGTGTTCAGATATTTGCATTGAGAGCTTAGAATGAAAACATGCACTACACATTGTAAAGTACAGTATACACAACATTTATGGACTTGGAAAAAGCCCATGACAAAGTTAATAGGGAAGAATTTGCAAAAAATGATGAGCATGTATGTAATTGGTAGCAGTGTTAAATGCTGTGAAAGGTTTATACACTTTAGGTACAGTAACAATGCATGTGTCAATTAACGGTGACATGAGTGACTGGTTATACTGTATATATTAATGTAAGGTTAGGTGCATGCTAGCTTTGTGTGCCGTCACCCTGGTTATTCAATATATATACTTGCACGGAATTTGGGGGGGTTTTTATCAGGTAAGAAGGTTAGAGGGGTGTGAACCTAATGTGCATTATTTCAACAGAATGAAGGAGAGCTATGTAGACTAGTTGAAAAGTTTAAACACCTGGCATGTGTGATAGAGAAATTTGATAGACCTTTCCATACATAATAATGGATCAAACTCTTAATCTTTTGATTCATTGAAAGATAAGCATCCACATTAAGTGAAATCATTAATGCTTCTAGACAAATTAAGAAGCTTCTTAAGTATGAAAACTGCCACCAAAATGGGAGCATGCTCTTGACCCATTGAGGTGCTTTTATACATGTAAGTAATCTTGCAATTGTCAAGGTTGTCAGTGATATACTGTTCTACTCACTTCCTTGGTGCCAGGCTACCATAGGCCCCACTGAATGATGACTTCTTTGCTAATGTATCACTGTTCAAGTAAGGTGGTCCTCCACTTGTAGATCCAAAATATATGCGAGCATTAGGAACACACTCAGCAGCAACAAGTGTCAAGTCTGTCGACAGGATGCGTGGAGGATGTCTGGTATCTGAAATTTAAAGTTAATATTTGATCAGTTACATATACAGTTAAATATAAATGACTATACAGTGGAACCTTGGTCTAAGAATGCCTCAGAGTACGAATTTTTTGGTGTACGACATCAATTTCGTTGTAAAATTTTACCCAGTGTACGACGTTTGCTTTGGAGTACGACTCGTTTATTAATATGTACAGTACAGTGGGGGCCTTGACTTACGACCCGTCTCTGGGAACAAATTAAATCTGCGAGTCGAAAATTCATAAATCAAAACGAATTTTCCCATTAGAAATACAGTAATGTAAATTGAATTAATCCGTTCCACACCCCCAAAATTATTAACTTTAAAATACACTTTATACCAGATAACACACATTTTGTACTAGTTAAAATACAATACTGTATGTATATCTTACCTTGAATGAGGACTCTTGTTGGCGCATGGAAGATGGGTAGGAGGAGAGGTGTTTGGGTTTGGAAGGGGAGTCCCCTTCCATTATAACATCAGGAAGTGATGACTTTTCTGGGGTACACACACTCTTTACGTTTTGTCTGCATACCACTAGGACCTACGTGTGGCTCACTGCTTGTTTTTCTCACAAAAAACCTGTCTAGTGACACTTGTTTTTCCCTACGTTGTAACACTTGTCTGAAGTGAGACATCACATTGTCATTAAAAAGGTTAACACAACAGCTTGCTACAGCTTGATTTGGGTGACACTTTTCAGCAAAACTTTGCAATTCTTCCCATACTGTACACATTTTCTTAATAAATGAGGAAGGGGACATCCTCTACTCTACATCAACAACCCTCATACCATTTTTATGTTTACGAATGATCTCTTGTTTTTCCTCTGTGGTCATCCTCACATGTGTTTTATTAGGTTGAACCTTACCACTGACTTTTTTGGGACATGGCATGATACATAATAATTACTTTTATGTTCAAAAAACAAAAACGCACAAAAATAATTAAATTTTTGCAAGCACGATCGTCACTAAGTGGGTGGCTCTGGTAAACTGAAACGGGGTTGGCCATACCATCAGGAGCGACGCGATCAGTCGACCCATACGTGTATCAACAAAGTCGCTAGTCGAGGCAAAGGTCGTAAGTCGAGGTGCATTTTTCTATGAAATTTTCGTCGTAACTTGAAAAATTCGTAAGTAGGGGCAGTCATAAGTCGAGGTGCCATTGTACTTGTATTGGTCAGGCGCATGGTTCTGCCGGGCGAGGCACTCTCAGTTTACCAGTGTATTGCACCTAGTGACAACTGCGCTTGAATTCTTTGTGAAGATTTTTTTTTTTATTTGTTTTTTTTTTGTTTCTTTCTTTCATGGTCACATCTTTCTTGTGACAATGGGTCACAAGAAAGTCAGTGGTAAAGTTCAACCTAAGAAAATAGTTGTGAAGACGACAATAGAGGAAAAATAAGAGATCATTCTTAATGTGAAGATGGTGTACATGGGGTTGATCTGTCTAGGCAATACAACAAATCTATGTCAACAATAAGCACTATTGAAAAGAAAAAGGAAATTGAGGACAAAAAGTGTAACAAGGTTGGAGGCCAGAGTTGGACTCAACCCAAATGAGTCTTATTTCAACCAAACAGCATGTTACCTTACAAGTAGATAGGCATCTGTGATCCCCAGCCACTTGGGTCAACATTTAGGGTTCTCTCTAAGTAACTGAACCCTCTCTTTCTAACCCTCACTTGTTCACATGCAGCCCTCAAGTATTACATTATTTGACTGTATTTGTACTCTATACTTCATTAGGTCTAACTCCCTATATTATGTTCTTATTGGTTGACTGATCTGAGCTACCCAAGACATTAAAAATAAAAACAACATTTTTATACTGTAATTACAAAATAAATGTAAAAAGACACAAAAATAACTTACGTAGATTAAATTTTGCTGTAGGATCAACTAGAAATGGCCTGAGGAAGTCCATTACATTGGCAACAGTTTCAGCCGACTTGAATGATGCCTGAATGACGTGATCGTCAGGAAAGTGTATTCGTAACTGGGTGACCGGATATTTGTTGAGAGCAGAGAGGATTTTAGCATTTTTCTCCATCTCTCGCATCTGCTGAGTCATGATGGGTGCTTCTGCCAAGGCCTGCCTGGTAGGTAAATAACAAGATAGCCTTAGTAATGTAATCTATTTATATTCAACATAGCACTCTAATGGTAAGGCAGCCACATGACACTGGGAAGGCAACCATGACAATGGTAAGGCAACTGTGACAATGGTAAGGCAACTGTGACAATGGTAAGGCAGCCATGACAATGGTTATCTTGAGATGATTTTGGGGCTTAGCGTCTCGGCGGCCCAGTCTTCGACCAGGCCTCCTTTTTGTTAACCCCCCCCCCCCCCAAGGTCAACCCGTAGCATCTGTCTAACTCCCAGGTACAATGTACTTATTTACTGCTAGGTGAACAGGGGCATCAGGGTGAAAGAAACTGCCTATTTATTTCTGCCTCCACCAGGGATCGAACCCGGAACCTCAGGACTATGAATCCCGAACACTGTCCATTCAGCTGTTAGGCCCCTGGTAAGGCAGCTATAACACTAGTAACGCAGCCGTAACACTGGTAAGGCAGCCGTAACACTGGTAAGGCAGCCATGACAAATGTTTCCAGGACACTTCATCTACTTGATGGAGGTAAAACATCAACAATGTTGTGTAAACACCAGCATCCAGACACATAATGAACAACCTGGTACATGGTTCCTAGTCCATGAACTAGGACCATGGACCTGGTCCATTGTCCACAGTTCATGACCCTAGAGCATGGATGTAAATTAAACTTTAAAGTAAATCAAGGAATTTCAGGCTAGAAAACAAAAAACTTTTATACTTTTCTATTCTCCTTTTCCAAATATAATGTACAGTACTACAGTATTTGTTTATATTTTTCCAATAATCTCTCGCTTGAGTATGCTTACCGAGGACATCCTCATTCTTTCCTTCTACTCCTTCTCGTACAATATGAAACTTTGAGTTCTGTTAGATTATAAGCTTTGAAATTGTTGGAAAGTTTGTTTTTGCAATATTATAATTTAAAAATTACCTGACTCAATTATCAATCTTTTCACATTCACAAAGAAGACCTGACAGCAGTACTCAAAACTGCTACAGGTGAAACAGAAGACATTCAATACATACATGATTTTCTGTTGCTCTTGGTATAAATTCTTCACCTCATTAACAGATAATTCAAAAAAGGTTTCATCTTCTTCTTGAACATGAGTTGGAGGAGCATCACCCATACTGAAGAGGATGGCATCATGGGAACCAAGCTGGAAACAAAATTTAACCTAAATATCTGCGACTCGGGTGTTAATGACTCAGCTCTTTGGTCTTTAGTGTGTCCTGCAAGCAGTCCTCCAGTATCAGATAATCAACATACATAAACGTTGCAAATTTTAGATATTACAGTATATAGCATCCCCCCCCCCCTTTAAAAAATACAGTACCTTATTGCAAATGATATTCTCAAAATAACAGGAAAATCATACGAAAAACATTCATTATAAGACATTTCCAAATTCGACGTGAGATTAAGCAGACATGGCCTAGAGTAGCACCAGTTCAAGGGGGTAGTATGACATCTTTCATTTCATCACACACTGATTACACAGACAAACTTGACTACACTATGCCACCACACCACACACAAGTAGGAACATTTAATAATTTGTATCAATGTAACTGCAGATATACAGTAATACAGTGCAAACAAATGCTAAACAAAAATTACAAATAACTGCACTATGATTTTTTTGAATAACTGGAATACATGATGGTGTACAGAGCATTCTACAGAGCATACACAATTATGCTCATGTGGTGCCCATCACTGAAGCTGTGTGTTGTGTTGTTGTTAAAGATTTAGCTACTCAGGACCAAGTGTCCATGTAGCACGGGCTATGGTGAGCCCGTAACTGTGTGTTGTGTACACATTTATGTTTACATCATTACAGAATGAAGAACAAAAATGCACACCTTAATTACTGTCTCCTCCGTCAACATTGACGAGGGCTCGTGGTCTGCAGGGTTGCTTCCTGACATTGGAGCACACTGTCCTTCAAGAAGATCCATTGGCGCTGGGGATTCCATCGGCTCACTCACTTCTGATTATTTTAATTGTGTAATTACGCAATGTACATGGCATGTAAAATGAATAGGGGTGCCTATTTTACTGTTACATCTTTACCATCATCAAGCAATGTGCTCAAGTCCCCAAAACTTTGAGTATTCTTCATTTGCTTCCTTAAATCAATTTTTTAAATTATTAAACAAAATACTGTATAGTATACAGCATGTGAAAAATATCGTAAAGTCAACTTCTCTCATAAATTTTCATATCAATTGATGAAATAATAATCAATCTCATTATTGTATCATATCAAGTAAATTTTATCCCCAGACATCATCTGTAAGACTGACAATATCCCAAGAGGCCAACCCAATTTCTTGCTTTAAATTGACTCCAGTTCTGTATTTGCCATGACTGTCTAACAATGAGAAGGATGACCTTAAAATAATTGAAAGATCAAGAGAGATTATAAAGCCTTGGCTCCAAACCAGGTTAGAAAACTGGTTCCAAACCTTTTGGAAGGTCATGTCTCAGGAAAAACGTGAAGTGCAAGATGAGCTGTGGGAAGGGCAAGTCCTAAGCCAGCTAGCAGGAGTCAAAAGTTATTTACTCTGTACAATGCCCAAAATGCAATAAAACATCCTAGAGCCGTCGCAGCTGGAGGAATCGCCAATAAAAGTCTTGAACTAAACATTTGACAGAATATTTGGTTAAACTCTTCCTTTCCTGATGATGGCAAATGAAAATAATACAGGTTAGCAGTGGCCTATGCATTCAACTTAATAAAGTTTCCATATTTCCTACTTTCAAAATAATAAAATTAACAAAAAAATTTAAACTAATTCCTACTGTATCACACAAAGATTTTCATTAATTCAGTTATTAAATGGACTCTGTACAATTATAATGGTATCCCTCAAAATTGTCACCCTGACTGAAAAATTTAGTATCTATTTTTTCTTATGAAATGTAGTTCTGCATTCAAAAAGGTGGAAAATATACAAACAATATCTACACTTACACTGCCTTGAGCAGTGGTCCACATACCATCTAGCACTGTGGTGTGAGGCACGACCAAACAATATATATTTTTGTTCAGTTTACATATGAAATACTGTATATTGAAAAGCAAGGAATCTATAGGCAAAAGTAAAAGAAACACCAAAATAAATACACACATTGAAGATCTTTTTGTTGACAAGATAAGTGTGGTCTTGGTCATACATTGATTGGGGACCAGGAGCTTATGACTGCTCGACTCCAAAATATTTTGCATCTTCCCCAAGCCTACCGAGACACATCATTAAGGTCTTGGAACTATATGGGCAACATTGGAATTGAAACAGTGATGTAAACCATAGTATATTCACTTGACAATGACCACACTTCACAAGATGATCAACACATGACAACTGCTCATCGAGGGTTAATGACATAAAAGATACAGTAATGAAACTCACCAAAGGCCCCTCTATGCAATAAACAGTTGTTGATCACAAAAATTACACCTTACAAAAGTATTAGAGTACAGTACAGTATTCACACACAAGTTTCAGAGTACAGTAGGTATTAAAACAATACCTCAACCAAGAAATTCACCTGTAATATCAGGCTGTGGCAAATTCTTCTGAGACTGAATTACATCTGGAACTATACTGTGGCTGGAGGACACTAAATCTAGACTCAGTTCAGGGACAACGTCGACAGCATGATGCCTGGGTTGATCTTGTAGATTATGTTCTAGACGTTCATGATGGACATGGACCTCGTGTGGCTCTGGAGCCTTGGCAACTGGCTGAGGCTCTCTTTGGTGGCAAGGTTGTGCACTAATATTCCCATCTTGTGATGCAGGTTCTAGAAGAAAAGAAAATATATTGTGTATATGGTCAAACATAACTACATATACTGTATACAGTATATTGAATATGCAGATAGTAGGTAAATAAATGAGAGAGGGAGTGGGGAAGGCCCCCAATGACATTCGGGCACATTTTCTTACACCTAATGCTTCTGTTCACGTAGCAGTAACAGGTACCCAGGCGTTGGCCAACTGTTATGGGTTGCATCCTGCAGAAGGTCAGTAGTTGGCCTAGAGGGACCTCAATAAGTCTAACAGGCTATCTGTCCCCGACAACACAAAACCATTCTATACAATACAGTATCCTAAAACTTGTATCTTCTGACAGATACTGCCTCCTTCTGTAAATTCCAGGACTAGTATTCTATGTTACATATTTCCATTTCATAAAAATGAAGAAGTTCAAACTATTACTGCATTTCCTACCATTCCTTATCTCTCTTCCTTCAAGAAGCACTTGTGATGTCTTCTGGCTATTAGCCAATATTCTTACCATAAATATATTCTTCTGACCCTGCATTAGAAGGCAACTCTGCCCTTGATGTGCCTATTTATACAAAAATAAAATATTAAAAAATATTGTATTGTACTGAAGTTACCTAAAAAAGTCAAACATGGCAAACAGCGGTAATAGAAAACAAGATGAAGAATGAATGACAAGAGAGAGACTGGAGAGAATTCACAAATACTTACAAGTTTGCACAATTGCAAGATTATAGTTATGTTATTTCATGTAAGAGCTATAAGCTCGAATTACATTAATATTCAATACAGTATTTCCTACTGAATATAGCCAGGAATTGAGCACAAATGTTCCTTGGCAGTCATGTACAATATTGAAGGAAGCACCTATCTCTTATCTATGATGACATTGGTTCACTAACATGATGGTCTAGTCACTAGTGGATTGTTTACATCTGTCTGCTTGTAATAAAGAGCACTCTTAGTTGTACAGACAATGTATATAAAGTACAATATTTTCATGAACAAATCCACAAGGGCCGTGACGAAGATTCGAATCACGGCCCTTGTGGATTTGTTCATTTGATGCATCATGCTATTGTGATTTCTGTGTGTTACAAGATTTTCATTTCTTTTTTACAGAACAAGTATTTCTAAATTTTACCTTCAATTTCTTGAGAAGCCTTCGGTTTTGACAATGGAGCGGACACGTGGGCTTGACTATTTGAGTGTGCTGACTGGATGCTATACCTAAAAATTAAAGATAGAAATACTGTACTTTAAATTTGATTAATAAAATATACAGTCAGCATTGTGTTAACACCTTTCATATTTGTTCGTATTACAGAGTCTTTGTCTTACAAGTCGGGAGATACGCTCTTCACACAAAAGTTGGAAGTCGGGAAATACGCTCTTCACACAAAAGTTCAAATGACTAGTGAAGACATTCATCATGCTCAGCCATGAAAGACTTAGGCTTCAGGTTGGCTGGAAGTGTGAGTGCCAGTGACACGGAAACACACTGAGGCTGGCCCACCTCAATCACAACATACGGAAAGACACTAAGCACTATTGCATTCAAACCAGGGAGAAGGGGCAACAAACAAGCACAGTTGCAAGTCAAAACTGAAAGTAACCAGGAAAGACAAATCATAAGAACATAAAAAAGTAAAGATACTGCAGAAGGCCTATTGGCCTATACGAGGCAGCTCCTATTTATATCCACCCATTCATATACCTGAACATTTGTATATGTCTAACCTGTGCTTGAAACAATCCAGCGATCTCATATCTATTTATTAGTTCCCTTGTAATTTGTTCTATAAATCAACATTACTGTTTCAATCCAGTATTAATCCAGGTCTTTCCCAAATCTAAACCTATCCAATTATGTCCATTGTTTTATGTTCTACACTGAGTTAATATATTTAAAACCTCATTTATATACAGTTTATTATACATGTATTCTCATCCATTTAACACTTCAATAGTATCAGTCCTTATGCTTCATCTTCCAAAAGAAAGTAAGCTATGCTTTATTAATCTCTCTTCTTATGGTAGGTTCCTAATTCCTGGGGTTAACTTTGTCATCTTTCTCTACATGTGTTCAGGTAAATTTATATCCATTCTAGTGCAGAGACCAAAGTGAACTGCATATTCTAAATGGGGCCTAACAAGGCCTCAGGAATAATATTAGACATCTTTTGTGCTAATATTTCTAAAAAATAAATCCCCGATTCTTATTTAAATTATTCTGAACATATAGACATTATTTTTTAGTCTAAGGCCTCCTGCTTAGCACAAATTCTAGATCTTTCTCACACTGACTTCATAATTTTGTCTGGCTCAGCCTTGGAGACATGTTTGGTATTAATTTTTCTATTTGTTTAATAACTTCCTCTTTGGTAACCATTAAACTCGTTACCTTGTCTTTTTGCCACCTACATTGATTTGTTCAGCTGCAGGTATGATGTTAAATTCTTCTCTAGTAAATACAAAGACAAATTACTCAAAGAAATGAGCCGTATTGTAAATGTCATTATCAGTTACCTGACCTACCACGGTTCTGAGTTGGAATGTGAGTTTAGTATCCAAATGTGGGAATTTTTGAGTATAAACGAGTATAGAAATAATAATGTCATTGGATAACATGTGTTCAATTTCCAAGATGCAAGAGAACTCACCTAAGCATGCACTTCCCACTGAGAATTCCAAGAGCTTTGAGGGAAGTAGTTCTCAGTTCTTCACCCCTGATTCTTCTCATTGTATACACAATGACGGGCTCCCGGTCACCATCACCAGGGGGAAGGAGAGGTCCCGAGTTACCATTCACTTCGTGGTAAGAAAGAATTTCCCACAAAGTAGCTGTTTCAAGATATAAAGCTTTATTAAGCAACTCATATAATACATATAATTCATACATATAACATATACAGTGGCACCTCGACTTACGATTGCCCCGACTTACGATAATTTCAAGTTACGATGTAAATTTGATAGAAAAATGCAACTCGACTTATGATAGTGTTGTCGACTAACGATATTTGTTGGTACACGTTTGGGTCGACCGAGCTCGTGGTTCCTGGTCACGTGGGCCAACCTGCCTCAGTTTACTAGAGCTGCATGCTAAGTGACGATCGTGCCTATAAGAAATTCCGTTTTTGTGGCGATTATTTGCTTTTTGAACATAAAACTGATTATTATATATCATGCCATGGGTCCCAAGAAAGTCAGTGGTAAGGTTGAACCTAAGAAAATAGTTGTGAGTAGAGGCAGTAGAGGATGTCCCTTCCTCATTATGAAAATGTGTGAAGTATTGGAAGAACTGCAAAATTTTTTTGAAAAAAACTCACCCAGATAAGCTGTAGCATGCCATTGCATTGACCTTTAAATGACAATGTGATGTCTTACTATAGACAAGTGTCAAAATGTAGGGAAAAACAAGTGTCTTTAGACAGATTCTTCATAAGACAAACAAGCAGTGAGCCACAAGCAGGTCCTAGTGGTATGCAGGCAAAACATGCCAGAGTGTATCCAGAAAAGTCATCAGTGCCTGATGTTATAATGGACGGGGACTCCCCCTTCCAAACAGTAACACCTCTCCTCTTCCTCCCCCCTCATCACCATCTTCCATATGCCATCAAGAGTCCTCCATAAAGGTAAGATAAACATATGTACTGTATTGTAGTTAGTGAAAAAAATTGTATTCAGTATAAAATGTATTTGTAAGTTAATATTTTGGAGGGTGGGGAACGGATTAATTCAATTCCCCTTATTTCTTATAGGAAAAATCGCTTCAACTTATGATACATCTCTGGGAACGGATTACCATCGTAAATCGAGGCCCCACTGTATATAACATATAACTCATATAGTACATATAATTAATAAGTAATTTATTAATTACTTATATAAAATACAAAAAGACCTAAAAAAATCCTAAGTTAATGTCTACTGCTTTTATTGTCATAATCACTATCATATTATTGAATGATGAATACTATGTTACAATTCATGTTACTCTTAATATAAGATGTAGATGTAAGCTCCAGATCATTTCCAACTGGCCAACTGGCTGAGAGAAATTGAGTGATTAATAATCAATAGAGTCAATCAAAAATATAAGTAATAATAAGTGTTCAGGCCATGTTGCAAAACAGTTAAGAAATACCACTTCTTATAGAGTAATAAACTAATGGAATAGTTAACACAACAAACACTCTGGAAATACTTATTTGATAAAATTAGAAAAACCTTCACTAGCCACAGCCTTCCTGTTCCTAACTGGGCTACAAGAGACTGCACAGAGAGATAAACTTGGGTAAACATATATTAAATAACTTACTTGTAGCTGGAAAGTCATGAATAAGCCTTTGGCCAGAATCTGTAGCCACATTAACAATAACAGTCTCTGCTGTCCGTGGGGCATCAGTTTTAATGAGCTCTAGTTGACACTTGTTAGGAAGTCCGGCATAACGCACTGTGCTGCTGACATCCAACATGCGATGAAGGTGTCTGTGGAGGAATTTTTAACAATAAATCCTGCAGAGAATTTAACAACATTATAAGACTAAAATTATTTTGAAATAAACTGAAACTTTTCGAAATTTAATGTAGTCATATCAATGAACAAGATAAATACAAAATAATTAATATCTACTGCCTCAACTACAGTAGAACCCTGACCTAAGAACATGACTTACAAAGACCCGATCTTATGAAAGGCCTTCAAAATCTCCAAATTAGCATCTGGATCTACTGTACATATCCAGTCTTTTATCCTCTTAATTCAAACAGTGTTACTTTTATGTGTTTACTAGTTGTGTTTACTAGTTGTGTTTTTGCGGGGGTTGAGCTTTGCTCTTTCGGCCCGCCTCTCAACTGTCAATCAACTGTTGACTAACTACTATTTATTTATTTATTTTTTTATTTTTTTTTCCCCCACACCACCCACACACACACCCCAGGAAGCAGCCCGTGACAGCTGACTAACTCCCAGGTACCTATTTACTGCTAGGTAACAGGGGCACTTAGGGTGAAAGGAACTTTGCCCATTTGTTTCTGCCTCGTGCGGGAATCGAACCCGCGCCACAGAATTACGAGTCCTGCGCGCTATCCACCAGGCTACGAGGCCCCACACAGCCATGTGTGCATGGCTGTGGGGGGTGCTACAGAAACATCAACATGGCCAAGAGCACCAAGCAGCAGATCCATACTGCCCCAGTCAGCAGTATTCTCATGTCCAGTGTAGATTCATGTAGACTATTGCATATGTATAACAAGGAAACTACTAATAATAGTACAGTAGCTGATAAGAAGAGAAAGTATGTTTGTGATACACCAGTACTTGCCTAGTTGTGCTTGCAGGGGATTGAGCCCCTGCAAGCACAACTCTCTCCTCTCAACTGTCAATCAACTGGTGTACAGATTCCTGAATTGAAACTACGTATGTATGGAGACTGTTCCACCACTTCACTGCCTAATGCATTTCATTTGTTATCTACCCTGACACAGAAAAAAATCTTTTTAATATCTCTGTGGCTCATTTGGGTACTCAGTTTCCACATATGTCCCCTTGTTCATGTTCCACCCATGCTAAATAGTTTGTCTTTGTCCACCCTGTCAATTCCCTTGAGAATTTTATAGGTGGCACTGTATTCACATCTTCCCTAACTTAACTATCCTAACAGGGCCTAATAACTAAGTGGACAGCGCTTCGGATTTGTAGTCCTGAGGTTCCGGGTTCGATCCCCGGTGGAGGCGGAAACAAATGGGCAGTGTTTTTATTACCCTGATGCCTCTGTTAGACAGAGGGAGTTAACCTGGGAGTTAGACAGCTGCTATGGGCTGCTTCCTGGGGGTGTGTAACAAAAAGAAGGCCTGGTCGAGGACCTGGCTGCGGGGACGCTAAGCCCAGAAATCGTCTCAATATAACCTCAAGATAACTCTTCCGTCTTCCAGGGACGTGAAGTTTAGTTCCCATAGCCTTTCCTCGTAACTCATAACTGGAAACTGAAATTTCCTCATAACTGGAATCTTCTCTAACTTTGTCGTATTCAGCGAAACTGAAGATGAAGCGCCACATTCACAACATTTGCAAGAATAAAATTGGAATATGCAACAGCTGCTTGTGTCCATATCTTAAGAGGCACCTGCTACTAAATGGCTTCTGGAACTGAAAAACATGTGCTATGACAAGAGGCTGGAGGCATTAAATATGCCAAAGCTGGAAATTGAAGGAAAAAAAAGAGGTACAGTAATATGATCACTAAATACAAAACAGTGACAGATACCAACACAATTGACAAGGTGGATTTTTTTATTTTTTTATGAGACAGTTATGCTGCCACTTACATAAGTAGAGCTTCATACAGAGAGAATATAATTGAAAAAGGTTCTATAAGAAGGATTTGTATACCCATTAAATTGCAAGTACAGTACGTACAGTGGTACCTCGGCTTACGAATGCCCCTCTTTACAAACTTTTCGGGTTACGAGTCCGAATTCTTTGTAAAATTTGAATCAGGTTATGAAGTTTGCCTCAATAAACGAAGTTTGTTGATATGCGTATGGCCAACCTAGCGCATGGTGGTACGGCGATCACTCGGTTTACTAGTGCCTCCCGCCTAGTGACTATCGCACCTGAATTCTTTGTAAAGAATTTTCGGATTTTTGGCTACTTGAACATAAAAGTTGTTATTATATATCTTGCCATGTGTTCCAAGAAAGCCAGTGGTAAGGTTCAAGCCAAGAAAACACATGTGAGAATGACCATAGAGGAAAAACAAGAGATCATTCGTAAACATGAAAATGGTACAAGGGTTGTTGAACTAGTTAGGCAGTACAACAAATCTGTCAACAATATGCACTGTAATTGCTAAAAGGACATTATGAGTGCTAAAGTGGCAAAAGGCGTATCAACAATCACGAAACAAAGAACACTAACACTTGGGGATGTTGGAAAGTTGTTATTAATTCATCCAGAGCAAGCTGTAGTAGGCCATTGTGTTAACCTTTGTATGACAATGTGATGTCTCACTTCAGAAGAGTTACAATGTAGGGAAAAACAAGTGTCACTAGACTGGTTTTAATGAGAAAAACAAGCAGTGAGCCACAAGCAGGTCCTAGTGGTATGCAGGCAAAACATACCAGAGTGTACCCCCTAAGTGTACAAACTGTTTCATGATCTTGACAAAGCATAGATGATCATTATATAGTAGGCTACCTTTGGGAGAGAGAGCATAATACAGTGTACCTCGAGCACACCCTGACCCATGTGCTGTCTTCACACCTAAATCAACATAATAATACAGCTCAGAAATTTTGAACGATTACATACAAGCTTACGATATATTTTAGTAAAAATAAGTTAGTTAATATTTGGAAAATTAGTCTTACTTGAGTTTATACTGATCTGGGTCAAAGCTTTCTTTCTTGCATGCATCTTCAATTATCTGAAAGAAAAATTTATAAATCAATACAGTACGTGATTTTACAAATTTAGACTAATGACATACCTATTTAAAAATAGGGCTTCGAGAGGGGAGGGAATTATCAGGGGGAAAGTGTCAAGCCATTACAACTATATATAGCACTTGAAAGGGATCAGAATAAGTATTTGAGATGGGATGGGGGGGGGGGAAGGAATGGTGCCCAACCACTTGGACAGTCGGGGATTGAACGACGACCTGCATGACTCGAGACCTTCGTTTTACAGTCCAGCCCAAGTGGTCTGGCCGGACCGAGGCCAGACTTGACTTGTGAGAGCTTGGTCCACCAGGCTGTTGCTTGGAGCGACCCCCCAGGCCCACATACAAAATTCTCAGGAGAACTGACAACATAGATAAGGACATCTTTAACACAGGTGGTACTCGCATAAGGGGACACAGGTGGAAGCCGAGTACAGTAACCAAATGAGCCACAAAGACATTAGAAAGAATTTTTTTCAGTGTCAGTAGTTAATAAATGGAATTCATTAGGAAGTGATGTGGTGGAGGATGACTCCATACGCAATTTCAAATGTAGATATGATAGAGCTCAAGAAGCTCAGGAACCTGCACACCAGTAGATTGACAGCTGAGAGGCGGGACCAAAGAGCTGAACTCCCGCAAGCACCCCTAGGCGAGTATTTCTAGGCAAGTACACCATAATAGGGAAAGGGGGAGACACGAGATTGGTATCCAGCCAAGAACACCTACCAGAAGGTTTGTTATTAATGAAGCTCAAATGCCCTAATGTGCCAAGTAATGCTCAGCTGTTAGTCCATCTGGCCACTACCCAAACCATCACCAGGTGGTAGCAGACTGCATGTCAGCAAAGTTACACAAAGCAGCCAACCTCACATTTACTCTGACAAAACCTCAAACAAGCGGGAAGAAAAAGAGAGAAAACGGAAGGAAATGGAAGCAACCGAGTGACCATCTTTGAGGGAAGCTGTGATGTCCAAACCACACGTCAGAAAATAAAGAAACGGCGATGTTTCGGTCCCCTCCTAGACTATTATCAAGTTGCATAATGGTCCAGGATGGACCAAAATGACTTCATATTCTGATGTGTGGTTTTGGACACATCTTCAACCATGTTATTGTGACTCATCATCTGCACTTGAAAAAGAGCTCTTTATCTACAGTATAAACTTAAATTTTAAATAGAAACAAATAAGTACAGTACAGTATATGACATTCTGCAGCAATTCTGCTTTATATGTTTACCATTATTGCCTAGAACACTACATAAAATAAATCCACTAGTCTTCGAACACTTACGAAAGTTGACATTCTCTGTTGCTTACTAAAAATTTAAATGGCAATACTGTATTAAGATTGTTTGCAAAAATTTAAGGTATACATTGCACCAGGACTTGGTTCTATAAAATGACATTGAAATGGACGATGTCCATGCAAAACCCACGGATATATTAATACAAAAAAACTGGCGGTGTCTAAATATGTGGTGTGCATCAGGTGTGAGTGAAGGAGGTGTTGAGTGTGAGGTAGAAGGGACTGTAAGGAGTGAGGGAGTGAGTGTGTGAGGGAGCCTCTCACCTGCAAGATGCTGGTGTTGGGCGTCACCTTCACCACAGGTCTCCGGCCATTGGGACACAACACTGTCACCGAAGACGCTGCCATTGTCTCCGGGAGGTGTAGCAGCCTGTGTAGCCCCAAGGACAGTGTGGGTGTAACCCTGAGGCCCCTGAGACCTACAACATGAACAACACAGGGTGACAATGTAACGACACAATATCCGGCTTGTATTCTACATAACACTCTATATCATATGCCTTCACTTTAATTTATCGTAAAATATATATGCAAACAATTACATTTAAAACGAATGTATTAAAATAAGTAGTACAAGAATTTTTAATATTGGGAAATGTAATTGCAATATATTAGTATATAAGCCATTATGAAAGCGGTATTTATAAAGGGTAATTGTTCGCCTAAACCCGGATCCGGATTTGTTAAGGATTTTGGCTTCACGTCATGCTAGTGGTTATCACCTAATAGTGCTTACTGGGAGCCTGCGCTCACATTGGTCTTACGTAAGTAGAATAATACTAATTTGTAATTATATAAAGTACATATGAGACATGATACAAAGGAGCATTCTTAGGTACACCATTAATGCTATTTAAATAAAGCAACTAATACGCACAGCATTTCAAGTATACCTTAACATAAATAGGTAACTTAGATTTACTTGAGGGCCACTAACACTAGTGGCCGCGACGAGGGCAGAAAGTCGGCGGGTTGTCGAAGGTCCCCCCCATTAGCCTTATTTATCTTCTCTGGTTCCATGGGTTAATAACCCTGTGGGGGAAAATCATCTACTTCTCAGTCCTACATTGTGGCTTGTTGCGCTTGAAACCGTTGCTCCTTGTTTGTGTTACAACTTCAGTGTATTTTTCCCAACGACTTGGGCTGGACGGTAGAGCGACGGTCTCCCTTCATGCAGGTCGGCGTTCAATCCCCCGACCGTCCAAGTGGTTGGGCACCATTCCTTCCCAATCCCACATCCTTATTCTGACCCCTTCCAAGTGCTGTATAGCCGTAATGGCTTGGCGCTTTCCCTTGATAATTCCCTTCCTCAGTGAATTTTTGAGCACCAACATTAGTGGACGCTGTACTCCTATCATGTACCTGGAACTCTCATAATGTTGCACACATTAATGTACTATTTAGCCTCGGCTTACAAAACCAAACCAAGAAACTACCGGGATTACTTTCATAGGTCATATATATTCAATTTGCTGACCCAAGATATAAGAAAGACATGTAGACCTCATTTTGCTCTTTAATAACGTTTCACAGCCGACGTAAAAATCGTACCTAATACTTGACCTAGTAGGCGATGAGTCACAATAACGTGGCTAAAGTATGTTGACCGGACCACACAATAGACTGTGAAGGGACGACGACGTTTCGGTCCGTCCTGGACCATTCTCAAGTCGATTGTGTAGGGCCTAGATTGACCTAGTATGCAGTTATGCCCTATTTGCCTAACATGTGGAGTGATTTTCGTGATTTTTATATATATATGTTTTCAAATTCGTTTATTTGAATGAACATTATTATAATATATTAAAAAGTGTAGCTCGGAAACTACCTAATGGGTATAAGTTCATCTAATATCACCATATTACAAGGATGATTAGAGAACATAAAATACAAGGCTGCATGATCTATTACACTATATGTACCAATGTACCTTTTCATCTTACCTGATATGTTCATAGATTTCTTTGAGATTCATTATAAATGATTAAGGACCTGCCTGAAACTATATATATATATATATATATATATATATATATATATATATATATATATATATATATATATATATATATATATATATATATATATATATATATATATGTGTGTTAGTGGCTTAACTAAACAATATGTAATATGTGTTAGTTTGAGAGAGAGAGAGAGAGAGAGAGAGAGAGAGAGAGAGAGAGAGAGAGAGAGAGAGAGAGAGAGAGAGAGAGAGAGAGAGAGAGAGAGAGAGAGAGACAGAGAGAGAGAGACAGAGGGGGAGGGGAGGCAGCAGGGAATGAGTCCCTATGTGAACAAGAGCTGGGACATACTCTCTGACACTATATCTGTAATTACCCTGTTATCATTTATTTCAGACCAAATGGTATATGGAACTTTAAGCTCTGTAACTACTGCATACACTCGAATATTGAAAAATATTCCTGTACTGTACCCAGATTTTGCTAGCAGTAATAATAATAATATTTTATTTACTAGAAGGCAAATGGGTTTGTGCGATTACATTAGTGATATTTCTACATTATTGAAAAGCCACTAACACACATATCGTTTCGGGCAGGTCCTGAATCATTTATAATGAATCTCATAGAGAAATCTATGAACATATCAGGTTAGTTTAGTTTAGTTTAGTTCATTTATTATGCACCCCATATCCATCCTGTGGGCGGTAGTGGAACGGGTTACAGAGGCACATAATGGGCTCAGGGACTGAACCCATTATGTGCCTCTGTAACCCTTTCCACTACCGCCCACAGGATGGGTATGGGGTGCATAATAAATGAACTAAACTATGCACCCCATACCCATCCTGTGGGCGGTATATCAGGTAAGATGGAAAGGTACATTGGTACATAGTGCAGCGTTAATAGATCTCAGCCTCGTATTTTATGTTCTCTAATCATCCTTGTGAGATGGTGATATTAAATGAACTTATACCCTCTAGCTAGTTTTTGAGCTACACTTTTTTATCTTTCATATAGAATAGGATAGCATCACATTGCTGTGTATACCTAAGTTTGTTACTAAAAACTAAAACTTTTAGACACAAGTTCTTCACTTCTACTTTGTAGAAGTGAAGAACTTGCGAAGAAATTAACTCTATGAAGAAATCATAGATATACTTGAAGTTCACCCTTAATATATTGAGTGTTATTTTACCGTGTAAAAATACTGAGTTTAAACACTGTAATATACACAATGTATATTTTTCTACGAATATAAATTATTTGTATTATTGTAAATGATTCATTTAAAGTAGAAGTGAAAAGAATCTGATACATATTATAAATAAAATAGTGAAGAACGTGTATCTAAAAGTTTTTTTATACAAACATTTGGATAGGGAGTGAATTTATAAATGTTATTTTAAGACAAATTTAGTTTGATGTGAAGTAACAAACATATGAGAACTAGAGTGCAATATTTACCAGTAATATCCACCAGAGTCTCCTTTCCTCCCGAGGCCTCGACCAGGGTGAGTGGTGTGGCGGCGGCAGTATTTATCTCTTGATATTACCGTCATCCTCGTCCACTCTTTCCTTCTGTTACCCGCAAGTAGGTTTTGGAGAACTCTAGTGAATGTTAGTTGTAGTTTGCTAGTTTATTGTTGGCTAGTTAGGTGAGAAATGGATGTTAAGTGTTGGTAGCCTGAAGGAGGCTCTGGGCGCTGTCTTGCTTCGCTCGGTTTCTTCACAGTAAAGTATATTTTATTTCAACAGTTACCGAGCGGCCAGTTGCAGTTGTGACATGATAGACATGTGTATTGATGTGTAGTTAACCACCAATCACGAGGAGCGTTTTAAACAAGCTGAATTTCCTTGGAAAATTTAGTTTATCGAAAATTTATCTTGTGTATTTCTAGGGCATGTTACCGTTCAGTAATACCAATGTGCGGTGTTTATTATATGTCCAACACTAAGGTAGTAATGTGGCCCAGGTGGAGTGTCTGTTATTACCCAACTTGCGTTAATTCGTAATTAATTTAGCCAATATGGGTGTCGTGTCGTACACTGGGGTTTCAAGCAAGGTTTTCCACAATGTTAGGACCCGTATGTCTCTCTAAATCCAACATTGTTTGTAACTTCTATGTATGTACTTTTACCTGAACACATTTGAATTTGAATGTATGGTTAGGTTAGCTTGTGTTTAGTAATGTTTGGTTGTGTTAAGTTTTAGTTATCAGTTGGTGGAGCGTGGTGTGTAGGCTGAGAGTCTTGTCCAGCAGGTATAATATGTTCACAAAGTGCAGACTAGTATTTACCGATATAGGAAAGTAAAAAAAAAAATAATGCTCTAGCTTGGCTTGGTCATTATTGCTAAAGTCATTAAAAAATAAAGACTGGCAATAATATTCTAAATGATCCTCGGATGCAAATGAAGTGTGTTGTTGACGTCGTGATTCAGTGTATTTGAATAGAATATATTTTGGTTAAGGATAATTTAGGTTTAAAGTGCCTACTTGTAGAACCCTTTTATCAAATTGTGTTAGATAGTGGTTGTTTCAACGCTGCTGTTTAGATATAGGTTCGCCGGACTATTGCAACGCTGCTGTTTAGATGTAGGTTCGCCGACTTGCACTATTTGGATGAGTTAATGAATCATAAAGTGTAATAATTGTGCTCAAATGGCACTAGAGCACAATGGCTAGCAGTTCCCCCTTGGTGCATGCTGTGTACTCTACTGAATATGGAGGGCAAACTTGTTTCATTCACATGTGTTGTACACCATACAAGATGTAACCGGTCTCGTAGTACAGTTGGCTTCGGTCTCTTCACAATAAGGGATTATGGGATGAATTCCCAAGGAGGAATTGGGAAGTTTGCCCAATTGCAAGTTTGCTTTAACCAAAAATAATCTTCACCCAGCAGTAAATAGGTACCTGGGAGGTAGACAACTGTTGTGGGGTTGTGACCTGGAGAAGGTCAGTACAGTAATTCAAACTTGGGGTGACCTTGATACAAGCCTAAAGTGTGGTTAAACACAGGCTTCCTCTCTCCAACAATGGGAATTATTGTATGTTAACCAGTACTGTATATATTGGAGCATCATATTACTTGGAAGTTGCCCCTGTTTCAATCAGTATTACATAATCCAGCCTCTAATAACTTAACAAAATATACAAGCGGAAAAAATGCATTTGGTAATGTATGGTATCTTTAGATTGTCCTAATCGGCATTTCTGTAAATCGCCATAGATGAGTGTTTTGGGTTAGTGTCTAACTTTACTGCTGTGGGTTTATTTGTACCAGTGCTTTTACTTGTGATATTAATTTTCCAACTCTGGTTATGGGCACATTTAACCTTTGGGTTGTCTTTTATTTTCTTTAGCAGCAAAAGATAAATCAGGGCTCAAATAAGAATACAGTATTGCATTTCCTTACCACAGGCTGATATCATTGGTATTGCACTATTTAACATTTGTTATTGGTTAAATTGAGTTTAAAAATTTAAATATTTCAAGAAAAAATCAGTGTTATGTATTGCAAGGCACATGTTATAAAACTAGTCATATGATAGCTGCTTGATGGGATGGTGGGAGTTTTACTTCCCAAGCCTGGCCCGAGATACTGCCATATCTGTAGGTGCAATGCATATCTTTATTCTAACAAATGTGTGTGGCCAGATTTAAAGCATTTTTACAAGTGCCTGCCATCTAGGTGCTTGTGTCTGTATGGCCACATGTCGTCCATTAGTGAATTTTGTAAATAATATAATTGATACAATAATATATTTGGGTATGGTCAAATCATACATAATATGGTGCAATGAAGTTTGTTTTCCAATTGTCAAAACTATGTATATCATTAAGTTAGGATGTGAGAACCCTGCAACCTTTTATGGTACTGGTACTTCTAAAGTAATTTAAATTAATGAAACTTCGCTCTGATTGTGCAAAGGGTAGTAATTGTGGTGTTAGTATCTGGCCACTGTTTATTACAATACAGTAATACACATACAGGTTTTCACACATCCTACCATTTAATGCAGTAGCATAAAATAAAATCCCCAGACACCCTAATTACATCAGTGACATCACACAGATGTGATGTTAGAAACTTGTGTAAGGAATCATTCAGAACTTTGTATACCACATGTCAGACTAATCCTGGAGTATGCGGCTCCAGCACGGAGTCCATATCTAATCAAGCATAAGACTAAGTTGGAAAAGGTTCAATGGTTTGCCACCAGACTAGTACCCTGACTGAGGGGTATGAGCTACAAGGAGAGACTACGAGAGATTAAGCCTCACGTCACTGGGAGACAGAAGAGTTAGGGGGGGGACATGATCACATACAAGATTCTCAGAGGAATTGATAGTGTAAAGACACTATTTAACACTAGGAGTGCACACACTAGGGGACACAGGTGGAAATTGAGTGCCCAAAAGAATTTTTTCAGTGTCAGAGTAGTAGACAAATGGAATGTATTGGGGAGTGATGTGGTGGAGGCTGACACCGTACACAGTTTCAAGTGTAGATATGATAAGAGCCCAATAGGCTCAGGAACCTATGCACCAGTTGATTGACAGTTGAGAGGCGGGACCAAAGAGCCAAAGCTCAACTCCCGCAAGTACAACTAGGTAAGTACAGGTGATGTCTTGATTCTCAGCGTGGAGTGGAGTGGACAGTGCTTGGGACTCGTAATCCTAGGGTCTGGGTCTGATCCCTGGTGATGGAAACAAATGGGCTGTTTCTATCACCCTGATGCTCATGTTACCTAGCAGTAAATAGGTACCTGGGGGTGGGGTGGATTGTGTGTGTGGGGGGAAAATTGATTGACAGTTGAAGCGGGTCGAAAGAGCAGAGCTCAACCCCTGCAAGTACAACTAGGTGAATACAGCTAGTACAGGGAACTCTACATATAAATAACAAAGAGTATTTAATTTTTAAAATAAAATAAGCTAGGCAAGAGTGGTTGAAATAGGTCGAGTTAGGTTTGCTTAATCATTGCTGGTGTGTGGCTCTCTTGATCACCCTTGTAAAATTAAGTTTTTTTTTTTTTTTTTTTTGCTGTGGAATATAGTTTTGACCAGGTTTGATATAATACAAGAAGTACATTAAAAAATTTGCATTTCAGAGTTCACAATGAAGACCATCATTACTTCTCAGTCGGTGACCATTCCTAAAAACATCAAAGTTGATGTCAGAAAACGTGTTGTGACTGTCAAGGGTCCCCGTGGTTCCCTTCGTCGCTCCTTCAAGGACATGAAGCTTGACATGAAGGTAATTAAACAAATAATGGCTTTGTTTTTATTCCACATTGCTAATATTCATGTACTGTATGTGAATTAACACTACTGTATATATGCCATAAATATGACTTATTAGCTTTAAAAGTATATGAAAATTTTATTCTATTTCTATTTTCTGATTGAACAATTTGTATATTTTAGACCCAAAAGGTGAAGAAGGGCACCATTGTCACAGTGGATAAATGGTTTGGAAACAGGAAGGAGGTTGCTGCTGTCCGCACCGTGTGCAGCCACATCTCCAACATGGTCACTGGTGTTACTGATGTATGTTATGTTAATACTGTACTTGCTTCATTTAACTCACTTTTTAAACCCTTTGTAAAGATAAGTTTGTTAATTTAAGTAGGCCTCCTAAACAAATAAGTTAAAGTAAAATTCCCCCAGAACGGATAGTCAAATTTTTTTTTAGCCCTTGGATAGTTGATATGGAGAAATGTTATTACCTTCCTGTGTGCTTATTTTTATTATAAAATTATTAATTTGTATGTAAAATGTAAGAAAAATGCTGAAATAAGTAAATTATTTATTGTTTAACTGGATGGAGGCACTGTAAGGTTGCATGGTGGCTGTCTGGCACCCTGTCAACAGATTACATTTGAGCATTCTGATATTCCACACATTTTATATAAATTTCTTGACACTTGAATAATATTACTGCAAAAAAAATGACAGTGAAATATGTGACAATATCTTTGCGGAAACTTCCTCCTTACAGCTGGCATGGGATGACGACCCCCCATAGCAATTGCTCTTTGAATGCTCATAAATTGTGATGTCATTGCAAGACTTCCAGGCTTGATGGCCAAACTGTCGTAAAAAATTTTTTTTAGTTCCCATAATACTTTTTTTCTTGTGCACCGAGGAGGACATCAGGTATTACTGTATCTGGGTGGCAACCGTGTGGTTCAAGTTGTGGATGGAGGTAGCTTCCATTACTTCGTCTTAGTGCATTCCATTTAATAATCTGGCAGTGGCTAGTTTTCTGGGTAAATATCTTTGGTGAATTGGTACTCACTTAACCCAGTACCCATTTAATTTAAAATTATCTGGAACAATGGTAGGAAAGTTATTCATTCATTCATTTAAAAATACAGTATCCTTGTTTTGCACCTGCCATATATAATTTGAGATTATTGCCCTTAAGCATTCTGACAAAGTGTAAAAATATAAAGCTTACACTTGCAGACCAATGGCACCACATCTATTTTCAACTTTCTATATGATGCATTCATAACTGGTTTTGTTTCTCCAATTCTTATCTCTATCGAGCATGGTCTTTTTATAAAATGGTTTAATTTACGTCATTTCAGGGTTTCCAGTACAAGATGCGTGCAGTGTATGCCCATTTCCCCATCAATTGTGTGATCTCCAACAACAATCAGACAGTTGAAATCCGTAACTTCTTGGGAGAGAAGTACATCCGTAAAGTAGAAATGGCGCCAGGTGTCACCATCTCTGCCTCTGCTAAGCAAAAGGATGAATTTGTTATTGAAGGCAACTGTTTAGAGTCTGTTTCTCAGACTGGTAAGTTACCTGGTTTATAATTGTTAGTTTATTTGTACTGTAGAACAACTGTAGAAGTACTGTAGAGCTCGATATTCACTTCCCCATTCAGAGCAGGAGAGATTGCTGAGATAGAGGGAGTACAGAGAACATAAGACGCGATAAAGCATCTAAATTATTGGGATCGTCTCAAAGCTCTCCAAATGTACTTGCTAGGAAGACGACGGGAGAGATATCAAATAATATACACATGGGAAAATACTGGAGGGTCAGGTCCCAAATCTACACAGTAAAATAATATACTGGAGTGAACGATATGGAAGAAAATGCAGAATAGAACCAGTGAAAAGCAGGGGGTGCCATTGGCACAATCAGAGAGAACTGTATAAATATCAGAGGTCCACGGTTGTTCAACATCCTCCAAGCAAGCATAAGAAATATTGCCAGAACAACCGTGGACATCTTCAAAAGAAAACTAGATAGTTTCCTCCAAGGAATGCCGGATCAACCAGGCTGTGGTGGGTATATGGGCCTACGGGCTGCTGCAACCTGGTGGACCAAACTCTCACAAGTCAAGTCTGACCTCGGGCTGGGCTTGGACTAGAACAACTCCCAGGACCCCATCAAGCAGGAATCAAGTCAAACCAGTTCAGTAGTTTGATGTATTGCCCAGTTGACATTTTGATGGCTTGATCTTTAATTTTAATCTTTTTCTTTAATTTTAAATTATTTGAAGACTTGAAAGTCTATACCATTTAGGTCAGATATTTTATGCATTAGCTGTAGTTTATAAAATTCATAAGATAATGATGCACAATCAAGATCATTTCTTTTAATTAAACTTGTAGTTGCTATCAACATGTATCAGTTGCTATATAAGGTAAACAACACTACATAATAATGTTATATTCATTAGCACAATTCTTTTGCAGCTACTCTATTGTTGGTCTTCTCTGCAACTGCAATTACTTTAGTTGAAACTGTGCTGTATACGTGTTTCTCTGTGATGACCTTTTGCATGGGTCATCACAGTTTAGACTACCTGGTTGGACAGCCTGTCTTCTCAAGTTGTCATTTCATAAAAAATGGTATACTGTACTATATTGCTCTAACCTAACTGGGCACTTGAGTAGAAAAATGCTACAGCCCATCAATTTTGCAAGTGAATATGATTTTTAGTACATCATGGGGATTGGCCATTGGGGATTTATACTCCAATGTGATGAACATCAATCTAAATGTCCAGACCTACTGTTTTACTACTAGTAATAATATAAAGTTGCCTTAAGTTACTGATATTGTAATTTTCTACACAAATTTCTATAATACCTTGACCCACAGATGTTGACCAGTTGTACATGTAATTTTAGGGTCGTCTTAAACGAGGTATTTTTTTTCTCGCTCCTTAAAAAATAGGGAGTAAAGTTTTACTGTGGTCGCCTATTACATGAAGATATATAGTAACATAACCCTCTGATAAGTGTTCTCATAATCTCCCTTGACAGAATTGCTTCAAAGATCTGGGTTTTATGTTCTATAACGGCATGGGTTTTCCCCAAGGAAAACCTTGGGTTTTCTCTTCAGATTGACACATTTTTAACTACAGTATACAGATGAAGTAAGTCTCTTAACTTGAGCCTCACTAGTTTATCCACACTTCAACCATCAGTAGTACACTTCTCCACCTCCCATCCCATCCCAAATCCATATCCTGATCCCTTCCAAGTGCTCTATGGTTATAATGGCTTGACGCTTTTAAGTTTAAGCCCTGCTGAAAATCAGGCAGTGGGGCTTAAACTGATTGATTTCTCTAAACTGTATATTTTTCTTGTACCTTCCCATTACTTATACACTTTCCGAGCAGTGACTCTTCAGATTAACAGTTGTGGTAGATTCTCTAACACTGGCCACACCAACATGTGAAGTTGTTTGGAAGTGTTTGAGATGGTCATTTAGGTATGTTTATTGATTTGACCAAAAACATTTGAAATGGAAGAATCAACATGTGGTCTCTTCTTCAAGCATAGTATTTCCATTAAGCTCTAAATGTAATTTTTTTTTATTACAGCTGCACGCATTCAACAGAGTACCACCGTGAAGCGCAAGGATATCCGTAAGTTCTTGGATGGTATCTACGTGTCTGAAAAGGGCAATGTTGTACAGCATGACTAATAAAATATGATGACTTGCTAATTTAATTTTCTCTTTCCTTCCAAAAGTGTGAACCAAAAGCAGACCACTAAAAAAAGTTAAAAATGCAGACACACATGGAACCATGGAGGGAGGCAGGCAGGCAGAGAAACTTCTGACTGCACATTGCATAGGGACAGGAAAATAAGGTTAGGAAGCCAGGACACAAACTAATCCAGTAGGAAGTTTGACATAATCTCCTGACTACCAATGACACGGCTGATGCCTTGCCTAAAAAATGATGCTTGAAATGCAGAATAATTTGTTGTTGTTGTGAGGACGACCATGAGCATGTAAGGTGGTCACCACTGCAATTGGTGCACCTCATCGGTAGGGTCGCACAAGTAAATTCAAATTGGCAGGGCTCTCAAAGTGGGGAAAAAGATTGGCACTGCAAGTTAAAAGCACCATGGCTAAATTTCCAACAAATACTTTACAAGTACAAGGTGGGAACTAATATGCTTACCACGGGTGGGGGGGAGTGGAACGAGTGAGTGTGTCCACCTGGACAATGGAGTTCTTGGTTCTTTAACACTTTGACGTAGCCGGGTATTAAATATACGACGTTTATTTCTATGGGTTACGTAGCAGAGTCGTAAATAGCCGCGCGGATTTAAAAAAAAAAAAATCCAATTCTTATTAGATCGACTTGGGGTTAGTATGAAAATGTTTGCCATTAAATTTCCGTTTTCTCTGATATGCACATGGCCTATTTGGGAGAACGGCATTGTATTGTAACTTAGTGGAGAGACTATTGAATTGTTGACACAACGAGGGTAATCGCCCACTTCACACACTTTGTGTGGGCCGCGATCATGATTCTACATTTGTATGCATATGTCTGTGTAGGGAATTTTATTGAGAGTTCAGTGATATAAAATTTAACGCTGTAGGACTAATGTGGAGCCGACAACAAACAAGAGTATGAACATTTTGTTGCTGTTTGGACGTCACGGCGAGTGATCTATGTTTTTATTTCGTGGTGGGATAGCTAGTGCTTTGATGACATTTTATACATATGATCTTGTAGAGAATTTTATTGCCAACACATTGATACCAAAATGAAATACGTAGCTCGAGAATTGGTGTCAGGAGAGTGAAAAGATTACACACTTTTTGGTGTTTACGCTCAAGAGCCCAAAACGCCGAGCGCACAATGCGCTATTTTTTTCACGAGTGCCGGGCGCGTTAAGATAGGCTTAATGTCAACCAACTCCTACTTCCAAAGTTTTGCAAAACCTTAACCCACATAGTAAAGGCTTGGTTTACCCCTCCTACACTTCTGAAACTCCTTTTCCTTGCACACTTTTCTTCACACTCCAGCTCCATTGCTGCCGCCACAGTGTCTACTGACAGTGTAAGCCATTCTGTTTTCTTTTCTGACCACATACATTTTAAATTTTGCCCCGAGGGGCGAGTTTATTGGGCAGCGCCACTCATCCTGTGAGTGGACACAACCACACATACCTGTGTTGTCTGTCTCCAAAGACGAGCATTTATATGTCTAGAATTTTACTTTGTTTAATATCAGCATGGCAATCTCTTAAGATCCCTGTCCCTAACAAGGTGAGACGGGAGAATAATAGAGTACATACGTTCACGTAAACATCTTTGGCGATCCTTGCCGATATGACAGTGAAGCACGGCAGCTAGCCTGGTCTTGAAGTGAACTTCAAGACTGTACCAATATAGAAGCATCAAGAAATATGGGCCAATAGGCCCTTTGCAGTTACTTCCATTCTTCCCTTTAACTTACAAAATATTATACCCATTGTTTCGTGTTCTGTCTTGTGTTGAAAGTTTTTCACCTCATCCAAAACTATTTTAACATATCACCTCATCCAAATGCAGGTATAAAATCGAAGCTGTTTGAACTCTGTTCAGGGAGACATCTCCCGTCACGCAGGGTGCAGTCGCACCTCCACAGATCTCCAGTATCAGCTATTGATACTGGTAATGGCTCAAAAGGGCCACCACTTACGGGCTATTCATGCCCGTGCCACCTTTTAGATGGCTGAATCTTCATCAATCAATCAATCAATCAACTCTGTTCAGTTATAGTTGTGTGTGTGTGTAAACTAGTCTTTGAAAATGTAATAAGTTTTACGAAACGCGTTCAAGTGTCGCGTCAGTCTAGAAATAAAAATGAATTTTGGAGAATCGATTTTTCAGTTACCATCAACAGTGAAAAGAAATATAAGAAACAGAAAATTCGTGTTAGAATTATTAATCTTACTTTTTTGGTGGTTTTTATATGTATGTATGTGTATATATATATATTTATATATATATATATATTCTGGTATGTCAAGAGGAGTACAGGCCTCTTGACATACCAGAAAATATTCTAAGGAAACTACTCCAAGCTTGTACTAAAGAGGCACCCTTCTTGAGCCTGGATAGACACATGTATAAGCAAGTAGATGGGGTCGCCATGAGTTCTCCCCTAGGTGTCCTGTTTGCAAACTTCTACATGGGTACCATCGAGCAAAAAGTCTTAGTCGACATGAACTTGAAACCGGACATATACTACAGGTATGTTGACGACATTTTTACACAGGTACCTGATGTCAGACATCTGCAGGAGCTGAAGGAGGCATTTGAGCAGAATTCTGTGTTGCGTTTCACTTACGAGATGGAGAAGGATGGAAAGCTGCCCTTTCTAGATGTAACAGTCATGGAAAGGAGCGGAGTTTTCCACACTGCAGTCTACACTAAGGAAACAAACATAGGAATGTGCCTGAATGCTAACAGTGACTGCCCAGACAGGTACAAGAGGAGTGTTGTTAACGCTTATGTCGACCGTGCTCTCAGCCACAGCTCAAAATGGAAGCAAGTCGACGAAGAACTCTGTAGGGTAAGGCAGGTTTTAGTCAACAATGGCTTCTCCAATGGTTTCGTGGAAGACATCATAAGAAGGAAAGTGAAACGCCATGCAACCTCTGAAGAGACAACTAACACAACACCTATACCCCCTTATTAGACTATTTTACAGGAACTTTTCCACAGCCCATAAAACGGAGGAAAGGGTCCTGAAAGATATTGTTAGTAGAAACGTTATCCCTACAGACAAAAAAAGAAGATACAACTGACAATTTACTATAAAACCAAAAAAACGGCCAGCCTACTCATGAGAAACTCTCCAGACACAAAACAGAACGCTTTAAAAGAGACCAACGTCGTCTATGCCTTCAAATGCCCTCTTGGGGACTGTAAGCCTAAAAAAACTCAGTATATAGGCAAGACAACATCTCTTTCCAGGCGTTTAACGATGCATAAGCAACAGGGCTCCATTAAGGAACATATAGTCTCTTCCCACAACCAAACCATCACCAGAGAAATCTTAGCAAACAACACAGAAATCATCGATAGATACAGCGATAGCAGGCGGCTTGACGTCTGCGAGGCACTACACATCAAGAAGTCAACATCAGCAATCAACAGCCAATTAATGCACAACTATATTCTACCCACTTCAAGACTCCGCTCCAATATATTAGCATCAAGAAATATGGGCCAATAAAAATAGGCCTTCTGCAGTTACCTACCTTTAATACCCATTGTTTCGTGTCCTGTCTTGTGTTAAAAGTTTATTTTCACCTCATCCAAAACTATTGTAACATGTCACCTCACCCAAATGTAGGTATAAAAACTCGAAGATGTTTAAGCTCTATTCAGTTAAAGTTGTGTGCGTGTGTAAACTAAAGTCTTTGAAAATGTAATAAGTTTTACGAAACGCGCTCAAGTGTCGCGTCAGACTAGAAATAAAAATGAATTTTGGAGAATTGATTTTTGAATTACCATCAACAGTGAAAAACGTAAGAAAGGTCGAGAAAATTCGTGTTAGAATTATTAATCTTACTTTTTCGGTCATATTTAATAATACAGTATACTGTATATATATATATATATATATATATATATATATATATATATATATATATATATATATATAAATGAACATGATGTACTGAACAGGGTGAGAATAGCTGAATGTACCTTCTCTCTTTGTGTATATTTATCTCAATAAACTTATTTCAAATTAAATTTGAAAAGGCAAGCAGACTAAAGTTACAAATTTGCTATTATTGAAAAAAAATATATATACTGTATTTCAGGGACTACCTGGACAGAAATAACACAAGACATTTAATCTATTTTATTGAGACAAGCAGGATTACTTGTTTTTTATACTTTTCAACTAATGTCAAATAATTGGATAAAAAAAAACTTTTTCAAAATAATAATGTAACAAGATACAGTATAGAAAGTGTTCCATGTAATGTTCAATTTTGAAAACAATAAACAGGGATAAATACTTAACACTACATCAAACATTATAGAGCAAAGGTGAAGCCAAATCTTCAAGATTAGAGTTGAAAATTGCACTTGTCCAATTGTTTTGTGCAGTCTGTGAGTATGAAAACGTTTTAATTTCTAAAAACTAAGTTAAGGCCATAAATGATGTTATTTTTGTGATTGCTTTCAACATGAAGTAATATCATCACATTTCAATGTTGCTATTCAGAGGTAAAATAGGAAAGAAAACCAGTTTGAGCTACAAGCTGTTATAATACATCCACATGACAGTATCTTGAAACCTCAAGTACACACAAATGTCAACCCTTCACACCAACATAATCAACATTGGTAACAAGGCCTCAAAATAAGTGGGAAAGAAAATAGAATGTTTCATTCTCACAAATACAAGGTGCAGATCAACAAGGGTTGACCATACACATTTTGTCTCATCATTACTACACGATTCACTGTACCGTAATCTAACATGAGTAAGCTTATGTCACTAACCAACAACTCATGAGAACTTCTGGACACGTCTCACGTGCAAGAGTGCCATTCTTATAAGCAGCTTCAAAGTTGTACTTCATACTCCAAGGCCAGAACATATGACACCAGTATGAAGCACTTAAAAATTGAAGAAAGTAATGTTTATTTCCAAATGGTATTGAATAAAATTGTCATTTGGCAACAATATCACTAAGGTGATGCGCAAAGCGTGTAGCTAAGTGAATAGCAGACAAATGGAATTTTTTTTAATGGACTTTTAATGTTGATCAGTAACTTTTAATAAAATTATTACACAGTATGGAAATGAATTTACAAACTGCTCCAAAATTACTGTAAATAATTTTTATTAATACATTTTAAATTAGCAATAATCAAACTGACAATACTCCAACATCAGAATTGTCATAAAGATTAACTTGGTATGCTGATATAACTGTTCCTATCCTGATCCATACTGACTTGCATCACATAACAAGGTTGAGGGAAAATAAAAATGCTGAACGAAAAACACAGCATACTTGATTATTCAAAACCGAAGTCCTTTCCCTTTCCTCCTCTTCCTCTTCCTTTGGACTTATCTTCTGCTGCTGCTTTCTCAGCTCGTCGCCTCTTAACATCCCAATTGTAAATGCGAGCCATTGTCACTTCTGTTGTTGTGCACTGATTTCTGCAAATAAAATGAGAAAAGATAAAAATTGATTTTCTAGTACAGTATATCACTAATTATCAAAAGTGATAAGCCAATTTGGCTATATAGCACCACGCATGTCATAGGATGCAAGTACAGAAGCATAAAGCTGATTACGTTAACAAAATCTATTTCACCAAAGCTTTTCTCAAGCACACAATACACAGGGATATTGTGAAAGTAAAACCAGGAGATGGATGATAACGTGAAACAATGCAACTTGTACAGTAAGAGACAGGTTTTTGTTCTATGTATTAAGTGCCAATGAATTAATGTCATGTTAATGATTCATAATCAAGCAAAGGACACTTGCAACTTCCCATTACAATCAGAGGAAGAAGGTCACAGTAATGGATGACATTTGATGCCACATCTGTCTCAGAGCATGTCAAATCACTAAGTTTTGCAGTAAAAATAATTGTCTTGAAGGGAAGGCAACACTTGAAACTGGTAAAGTTGTTTTAAGAAAAATAAAGTCAGGAGCATCAGCAATCAATCTATCCATAAAAAGAGCACTAGAGTGAATATTAGTGGAAAAAAGGCTGGCTTTCAATCATTCGGGGTAAGGTTTTACTAAATAAAAAAAATTGGACGTGCCACACCAGTAATGTAGGCAGAAGAGGTGGGGATGTATTGCAAATATCCAGAGAGACTCTTGTAATACAAGATTGCAAACTGATGCATGCAAGAGTCATAAGACAAATTAAAACGGGATCGGAGTGAGGGCATTGGAGGTTCTGCATGAAGTATCAAAGACAACACCAGTTGTGGCAATGTTATAGCAAAGCAACACTGGTTTCATATATCAAATCCAAGTCAGTATGATGGGGAAGAGTCAAACAAAGTCAACAGTTAAACTTGGCAAATACATCGAACAACCATAATCCAATTTAAACAAAACAGGTGAGATTATATCTGCATCACTGGAGATCTGTTACAAGACTTCAAGGAAGGTGAGTGGTCTTGGTGCATTCAGTGCACAGATAATGGGCATGTCACAACCAAAATAGGCAGGTGTCAAATATCATCTTTAAGAGTTTGGTTATGTCTTTACAAATAAAATGTCTACCATAAAAAGTTAAAGATGAATAATGGACAATACATTTATTTCTAAGTGAATGTCAGAGCATTCATTTAGCAAGGCCAGAAGATGAGCTTCATAAGCCATCTTTAACTATCCCTCAAACCATCAAAGACTGAAGGGCCCCTCTTGCCATGTCATCATCATTCATGAAGGGGTTCTGGTACATAGTATACACATTTATTTGTACTATAAATATTGCATCTTATGACATATTTTGCTAAGTTACTGCATGGAAAACATTTTAAAATGTGGAACAGTACCTTGGAAAATGCATTATATGCCATGATAGGTAATCAGAATAATTAAAATAGTTGGTCGTAAGAATACATGGTCAAATTCATCCTCTTTTAAGAACTTGTAGCATGCTGGATGCAAAGTACTAGTTACCATTTCCCAGTTAAGTCATGTCTCCCCTAAATCAGGATAACACTCAGTTTGTGTATCTCCTCCTCATTTGCACATATCATGTAGTATCATTTTTAACTCTGAAAAACCTACTTCTTTTTCCCTAGTTTTGAAATTGAAATAAGTTTATTGAGGTAAAATACACACAAAGGGATGAGGTACCTCAAGCTATTCTCACCCCGTTCAGTACATCGTGTTAATACATACATAGACACACATCGCAAACAATAAACATATTACCGAACATTCTGAGAGATAAACATATACATTTCCCTTTTCCCTAGTTAATATGATGCAGAGTTGGCATCTTTGCCCTAAAAACCTCACTGTAATTACCAAATAAAACTCAAATTTCCAGCATGAAAATCAGACACATTATCATCTTGAAAATAGGTACACTGGCTTTACCAAACACTAATAATTGCAGAATAGGTTCAGATAATTTACATTTAGGACTGTATTACTGTAGTTAACCTGTTCACCCTAAAATCAGGTATTAGTTTGTCCAATGAGTCTTTCTTCTATATTAATTTTGAGCAAAGAAACTAAAAAACAACAACAACTTGCCTCAAAAAATCCAGATCATGCTCCACTTGAGTTAGATTCTTGGTGGCATTTCCCAAATTTTTGGATAAAAGACCTTCAGCATCCTCCAAGCCATACTCCAACATTACATTAGCCTGCCAACACCAGTTTCATTAATATTAAACAAGATAGGTGAAGAAATAGGAAACAAGAAATAGGTGTCCCGTAAAATCCCAATCTCTAAGGAAAATATTGTAAGGCAAGATGATAATGGAGAGAAAATGCTATGTCAATATGTCTACATAGTCTATAACACTTGAAAATGATTATATACAGTATATCTATAAAAGATAATGTCAGACTGAGGTTGGGGTCCAATTGCTTGGGTCTTGGCCTCACTAAACTTTGTCCATGTACGGTCATAGGTGGGTTGGGGTCAAGACACATGCCCCACCCCCATCCCTCTGCATGAAATGGCAAATTACACCGATTTCCAATCTCAATAAATACCAGACTTCATCCTCACTATGATTCAACTAGCATATTATTTGCGACATAATTAAATGTTCATGAAAATGGTTACATGAAGGAGGCAGGTGGCAGTGAAGGAAGAAATTTGTAGATGGGGAACCCAGCAGTGTTCAGATAATGATGGTTACAGAGATGAAGAGAGTATTTAATGAATAAGGTTACAATGTTGAGGATAGTCATGTATGGTTAGATGGTCATTTGTAGTGAAACTGTATATAGTGATGGTTGTATAGTAAAAGATAATTATATTGAAGATGTGGTCTATTGTCACCCAAGCAATGCCATTTACCCCTCTAGTATGTGTATGTATAATACTAGATGAGGGTACTGCACCAAGCTGCACCCAATCTCTCCCTCTTTCTCTTACCCTTGTCTCTCGCATCTCTTCATCCCTCTCGATCTTTCTCCCCCTCCTCCATCTTCCATCTCCCCTTTATATGCGCCAACAAAACCACAAAGGATGGAAATGGACTTAGTCCATTACACTGTGCAGAGCACGAACTACTGTTGCAACTTATGTACACTACTGTATAGTATATAGTTTGCAACAAGAAGTAATTAATGTTATATTCAGTTATATGGCATGCATAAAACTGAATACAGTATAATATACGACACTCACCCCCAGCCAAAGGCATACACGGTCTGTAGGTGGGATGTTAGCTTTTATGTACACTTGATCTGAAAGGAGAAACCTCGTCTCGATGACTTCTGCTGTGTCCTTCGTGGTCTTCATTTCCTTCACTATTTGTAGGGAACTCTTGATGTCTGGAATCTGAGACTTTAACCTGCCAAAATATTTGCTTCAATTTAGTTTCAAAGCTAATAAATTTTCAATGTACATTTTCACTAACTTATTCAATATTGTTTCTGACATGAGTGAATGACCAAGTAACTAGACTAAACATGGGGAGGAAGTGCACAGAAAGTTACAAGTGAACAAAGCACTCACTGAAAGACTCCAGGAAGTATACATACTAGAGGATACTGGTCTGTTTAATAACTACCAGTATACATAATAGTGGATACTGGTCTATCCAACATCTACCAGTATACTTACTGCAGGGTACTGGTGTGTCCAACATTTACCAGTATACATACTAGAGGGAACTGGTCTTTCCAATTACTAATGGTCTTAATATGCAAAAAACTAGACGTATGACACCTTCTACAGCATCCAATATTAAACAGGATATCTTTGTACTCTATGTAACATGCTTGCACTGTACAGTATCTATATTTTGTTTCTACATAGTAGATAAAAGGAAATATAAGTAAACTTTATGTGAGTATTAAGTCATAACCACAGACAGTTTAAATGCTTTTTGGAAGAAAAAAGAAAACTCAGGACTATCATATCACACTAATGTTTGATGGGGTAAGTTGGGAGCTGTACTGAAGTGCTGTAATGATCTGCCAGGAGAAACATAGATATTTATGGAAAAGAAAGGAAAGAAATTGCATAACCTGAATGATGATCAATGAGTTTGAGATCTAGCTTTAGTGGTGAATATCTCAGGACACTTGAATTACCTGAACACAGATTTAAGAATATAATAAATTGATGACAGAGTTGCATAACTTGGTGCATTGGAGATGATAAACCGGCTTCATGAAAGGCAACTTGCAACTTCACACTCTCCAACCTTGAAATACCTACTAGACATCCTTGAGTGCTATGTTGGCACCCACACAGAAAAGTACTGAAGCAACGTTTTAAAGTTTAAGAATGTTTCGTGAAAGATTTAGACCTTTAATACCTCGAGAAAGATTTCTACACTTCTTGTAACCCATGTTCTATGGATGTCAATGACATACTATACCAGGATTTTTAAGCTAATAATAACCAAGTTCTAATGTGATTCTGCTTTGAGGAAAGTGTGCTTATGTGATAATGACAAATTTTATCAATATCTATCAAATCATCCCAAGAGCAAGCATTTTACCTTAGAGATTATGTCCATGTTTGGAAAAACATGTTTGTGAACAGTTCCTTTAGGTAATGAATATTATCATACCTCTCCTTCATTCTTAACTACAGTAACTTATGCACACCTAAATTTAATTCTCAAGGTTGCTACAGCTGAAGTCAAAGCCCCAGACTTTGATGCACTGGGCCATACCACAAGGTGTCATGAAGCAGTAATACCAGGCAATAAAGTATTTGTTGCTATTATATTTCTTTCTTTTATGGGTCATCACATTTACCTTGGAAGGATCATAGGCTGCCAAAAAGGCTTCCTTATCATGACCCACATCCCATAGTCAATAAATTTGGTTCACATAGTAAATGAGCTTGACATCCCAGCTTTGAGATGTTCATTGCCGATGCTCATATTTGAATAAAAGGTGTAACTTAGGTTTGCACTACTGTGGCTGGAATACTTCCAGCTTCATAAGCTTGTGGCACAACAACAAGTAACATTTCAAATGGTTTGGAAGAGCAGTAGATCATTGTGTTGTAACAGGGATTCCAACTTCCAAGGACCAACCATAATCCTTTGCATTCATAAGTGATGAATGCAGCAAAACTGGAGGCGAGTTCTCGTTAGGCTTTATTTCAGTTAAAACCGGCTCATGCTAAGGGGGGGGGGGGGGAGAGTGAGTACTCCCTCCTTTTAGTATGTTATGTATAAGGCTGGTCTTACTTCAGTTGTATGCTCTCCAGTGGCACCATACCTCCTGTTCCTTCAGTTGAGGTGATTAATTTCTTCTTGGGCAAAAGTGAACACTAATAATTACATGAAATAGATGAGTGTGTGTAGCTTGTGAACTAAAGGCTTATCAGCCAATGCAAGGCAGCTCCTATTTATACCTACCCAACTCACTCATATACTTACCTAACCTACAGTGGATTACAAAGCAAATACATTGTAGTATATTACCGTACTATAATATAAACTATTAAGATAATTTTTGGTTTATTAGTTAACTTGCTAAGCTGTAATTTGCCTATATTTGACTCATTTAAATCAACAAAAATACAATATGTTAATCAGCATACTTTTTACGTCTTGCTTGTAGATGAACGTCCATAAATTTGTATTTGTTCAGTTGCTCATCGAGGCGCTTGATGACATCTTGTGCATTAGTATTATCTTCCTTCTTCATATAAGAATCAACATCGTCCTGTAATCAGAAAAAGAATTTAAATAGGCAATAGCTGGCAAGCATCTCTCATAACTATCTTACACTGCAATTACAATATCTTCCTTATTTTATTCACCTCTTCCTGTGATGGAACATAACGAAGGTGTGGCAACACTGAAATTTTTGGGAGCGAAGGAAACACATTGGTTGTGCATTTCGCTAGTCTTCTGCTGTGCTGGGCTGGGTGCACGTTGGCCTCCGAGGTCATAAATAGGCCTGCCCATGTGATCAAGGCCCTCTTTCTTCCTGGGCACGTGACCAGGAAACGTAGTTGCTCTTACTAGCAAACACCCTCCTGCCATGCCCAGTTCAAATGGCACCCTTTTATTTTTTATACGCAGGACCGTTAGTGGAGGAAGGGGGGGTTTCAGCTGAACCTCCACCCACAGCATTCTAAACTCTATCGTGCTCCCTCACTTAAAGTGGGCACTCTACATTACACTAGGCTCATCTAAGCTTTATTAGTAATCCTGTGGCTTATTTTACTTATTATATTTAAGTTGTATAACTTACATGTAACTTACAAGGTTGGGTAAAGTGTTTTCCTTGACTGTCAACATGTGTTTTCTCATTTTCTTACATATTGTTTTACCCGTTGCATTAAATACAGTACTGTCAATTAGGCTAGTTCTCCACAAAAGCTAATTACAGTTAACCACTGCACTGTGCCACACGACAAATGCTGTTTTGAGAGTTGTCCATTTTTTTTTAATTAGGCTATATTTTAGTGTTTATGTTTTCATCACTCTTTGTTTTTAAATGAAAATAGTTGTTTGGAGACATTTTGACATTAACTTTACCTGAACATTTATAAAAATAACAAAAATATGTCCTTAACAATTGCACTATGAAGTTTTTGCCCAAAACAGGTGCGCAGTACAGGGGTTAAGCATCATTTACGGGTCATACATTACCATTTACTATAATTAAATTATAATGCCATTTATTGGAAGCTTTAAAATTTACTTATTATCTACTTTCAATTATACAGTATTACTAAATTTTACTTTTACTTATGTAAAATAAATAAAATAAATATTGAGTTATACATTATCACTTAGTAAAGTTAATACAATTATAATGCCACTTATTGTAAGCCTTATAATTTACTTACAGTATTATCTACTTTCAATTATATTACTTAAATTTACTTATATAAAATAAATATTTAGCCCAGCACAAGTTTCATTTGCCTACCAAAAATACTGGATACAGTACCCAAAACAATTTGAAAACTTAAACTTAGTTTAACGTTAAATACAGCACTATTTTAACAATTGGAAAGCAAGTTTCGTTTCGTTGAAATGCATGAAAACAATTTGACCATCTCTTCATGTCATTGACAAGTATTGTATTCACCTAGTTGTGGGGGTTGAGTTCTGGCTCTTTTGTCCCACCTCTCAACTGTCAATCAACTTCCTCCCCCCCCCCCTCCCCCAGGAAACAGTCTGTAGTAGCTTGTCTAATTCACAGGTATCTATTTACTGCTAGGTGAACAGGAGCATCAGGGTGACAAACTGTGCTCATTTGTTTCCGCCATCATCGGGGATCGATCGCCGAACCCTAGGATTACGACTCCCGAGCGCTGTCCACTCAGCCACCCGGCCCCCATGCATTGTGCATAAAGTGCTGAGAGAGAAATCAGACAATAGTGGAGCACCTGGAGACGATAAATTTTGTAACAAATGGGTAGCTTGGATTTAGAAGGGGAAGTCATCATGCCTGACAAACTTGATTTAGTTCTATGACAAAATTACTAAAATATGACAAAAAAAAAAAAAAAAAAGCTGGGTAGTGTGTTTTCTCCGACTTGTGGTCGATCTCAATCCCATTGATGATGTGACGACATGCTGAATTTTGTAACTAGATCATCAAGATTGCAACTTGCTTCATTAAATGAATTGTAGGGGTTCAGTCCCTGAGCCCATTATGTGCCTAGACTGTAATCTGTTCCATTACCGCCCACAAGATGGGTATGGGGTGCATGGTAAATGAACTAAACTAAACATGACTGAACTCCAAGTGGATGAGTTTTAGGCGCCTGTATACTACTTGACCACACCCCCAGGTAATGTCTTGGGCATTTGTGTACAATGTGACCGTATCAGCAGAAAGTTTCTGGAACCTTGTACTTCTTGATCATACTCCCCAGAGGAAGTCTCTCAAGTATTTGTGTACAACATGACTGTACCCTCAGAGGCAGTGTTTTGGGCATTTGTGTACAACTTCACTGTACACTCAGAGGAAGTGTCTTGGGCATTTGTGTACAACTTCACTGTACACTCAGAGGAAGTGTCTTGGGCATTTGTGTAAAACTTGACTATATACCCCATAGGGCGTGTGGGGTACGACTTCACTACCCAAGAGGGAGTGTCTCGGGCATCGGCAAGAAGCAGTCACCAGATGGCAATTACAAGACGAAATCACAGGAGACAATACTTGCTACATTAAAATTCATGCCATCCTTACAAAGTGCCTAACCTTGGCGGAGTAAGGAGCCTCAGACCAGAGTAGGTGTGGGCGGCGTGACTCATGACGGGTGTGGAGGCAGGTGTGGCCCACACCACCTGTCATGAACCAGCTGGTGGCATGAATTACCTGGAGTGGCCACAAGGACGGCCTCACTGGCCATATGTACTCACCACAAATTGGGCTTCGGGTATGCCCATATAACTTTTGGACTCATCGAGAGGCTTTTCACAGTCACCGGCCATGTTGTTTACAGCTGACTAGTGTGTGTGTGTTCCAGCACTATACACCCGCCTCACTCTTCACACTAAATTACCATGTTAACGTTCTAAACACACACACTGTTACACGAATATTATAGAAAAAATATAAATAAAACATTAATATCATATATTTAATCAATCATGAAAGGTTTACTATATTATATGCATTTTAAAAGACTACATTTTTTCGGCCAAGTTTTCCGAGAATGATATAATAAAATTGATGGCGAGTTTTGGCACTAAATACTAATAATTACACAAATACTAACATTAATTGTATAATATTAAGCAACTGACATATGTGGTCAAGATTGCAACTTGCTTAGCTAAATGAATTGTGTGGTTCAGTCCCTGAGCCCATTATGTGCCTCTGTATCCCTTACCACTACCGCCCACAGGATAGGTATGGGGTGCATAATAAATGAACTACACTAAAAATTGTCTAATGCAGTATATGACACAGTTGTTAAAACAGTAGCTACCTAAATGTATATTTAATAAAGTCACTATATAGTACATAAAGTGTTTCGGGCATAGATATAAAATAAGTGTTAATTTATTTATTTATTTATTTATTTACAGGAAGGTACATTGAGTTCATGAGAGTACAAAGACGCGACGTTTTACATTCTTGTAAAGCCAGTAGCATGCATAGCGGTTTGGGCAGATCCTTAATCTAACATATAATCTTAAGAAGGTAATTTCTAGCACAATTAAAAAAAATGTTTAGAGTTACATTGTTAGAACAAAAATACATTGTAAAAAAGTACAAAAACGTATTGCAAGAAAGTACAAAAAATACATTGAATAAGAAATTTGGCTGAAAAAAATAGGTATATTATTAAAGTAAATTTAAGGGTAATCCACAGGTACATTTTAGCATAATTTGAGTTTATTGCAAGACATAATGTAGCAAACTATGTGTATAATATGATACAAGATGACAGAAATGATTACAATGGTAAGTTGTATGGCATAGGTACATATATATCGGTGAACTGGGTTGCATTAGAGACAGTGCGAGTTAAAGCACTGTAGGAAACTATGAAGATGAAATTAGGTACTTTTTTGTATTATTTTTGAATAAGGCAAAAGTTGGACAGCTTTTCAATTCATTAGAGAGTGAGTTCCACAGACTAGAAGGTCCATTTATTTGCATAGAGTGTTTACACAGATTAAGTTTGACTCTGAGGATATCAAAGAGATATTTATGTCTGGTGTGGTGAGTATAGGCCCGTAAGTGGTAGTCCTCTTGAACCATTAACAGTATCAATAGATGATACTGGAGATCTGTGGAGGTGCGACTGGACCCTGCGTGACGGGAGATGTATCCCTTGTTTCTTGTGATTGATTGATGAGGATTAAGCCACCCAAAAGGTAGCACGGGCATGAATAGCCAGTAAGTGGTGTTCTTGTTAGTCACAGTTGATTTTTTTTTTATTGAGGCTGGTATTTTATCCCCTGATTCCATGTATAACTAACCATCCTGTGAGATGGGAATATTTAATGAACTTATAGCTAGTTTTTGATATACACTGTGTAATCTTTCATATAGAATAGGGTAGCAGCACATTACTGTGTATACCTAAGCTTGTTAATAATAAGAAAAAAATAGTTAGTTTCTATCGATAGGGAGAGCGATGGTTCAAAAATCCTTCTTTAAAATATGAATATCTTACCTATCTCACTAAGATCTAATCTCTGTGATTAAAATGCAAAATTGACTTTGTCACTGCCTTTTTGATAACGTATACAATCATAAGCTTATTTGTGAATCTCTATTAAACAGTAAATCAGAGAGCGTGTAAGGTTCCGTGTTCCATGTCCGAAGAAACAGGGAGATTTTACATAAATACAGTACATGATAGTTTAAGTAGCGAACGCATACCAACAACTAACGATTAGTATCTATAACAAAAATATTGTTCTATGGAGTTGATTTAACTTCCAACCATGTATTTTTAAATAATCTTTAACGTTTTCTGGCTAGTTATGTTAGATTTGATTAAAAATACGCATTCTACTTGTTAATATCGTTAGATTTGATTAAAAATACGCATTCTACTTGTTAACATCATAAATTAAATTTGCGATAATTTGAGCAGAGAAGTTCGACGACTGGATCACTGTGTACAGAAGGTTGATATGCCAGCAAACACTTTCCAGAGAGCAATATATCTTGGATAAGTCGCTCCACGATATTGTTGCTTGGACCATCGACTTCCTTTGATATTACATATTTACATCTTATTTTGTTATGAAATGATATTTTTTCAGAGTAAAATTATGTTTTCTCATTTTCTGCATCCAGCATCCACATTATAGTGAGTAAATATACCATATTACTTCATTGCTTACGTAATGCTAGGAAGGTTTGAGTAGCTTTGGGTCTTTAGTGGACAGAATCTCCAATAGATGGGACGAGAGTCGCCCCATCTCTCGACCGGGCGGGACTCGAAACTTAAATTAAAATTGCTATATCATTGGTCTCCAACATGATATATATCCTTTGATGCACTCACAATAACGATTATAGCTCTGTCTTTCTGGAGGCATGTAATATTTTAGGCTTTATTAGCGTATCTTTGTTAATTACACAACATATTGGCAAGTGCGTAGGCGTCTGCACTCCATGACCGAAAAGCTACTGAACGCCACTATAAAAACATATATATCTTCACTTGAGCTTTAAATATGTCTAATGTAATGTATTTAAAATAAAGCTTATATTTCTATCTTTCTTAAGACGTGTAAAACATTTGTGTTTATTAACGAATTTACGTAAAATAAACATTCTTCTGAGAGAGTTGCTCTGTCGCTCAGTCTATGCGGGGGTTGGAGCTCGGCGATTATTAAAATACATGAGTCTTCATTAGAACTTTAATTATGTCTATGATAAAGTGTTTAAAATGAGCCTTATATTCCTATCTTTCTTGAGGCATATAAAAAATTTACGATTATTTACAAATTTACGTGAAATAAGCATTGTTCTGAGAGAGAGTTGCTCCGTCGATCGATCTGTCCGGAGTTGGAGCTCGGCTATTATAAAAGTACACGTATCTTCGCTTTAAATTTAAATATGCCCATGGTAAGGTATTTAGAACGAAGCTTATATATCTGTCTTTCTTGTGACATATAAAACTCTTACGTTTATTAAGGAATCTGCGTGAAATAGGCATGGTTCTGAGATGAATGCTGCGGTTTTCGAGTTTGACGAGCGATGAAAACTGCCACTTTTATACAACTACAAATATCTTCGGTTTTACTTAAAATATTTGTCTGGTAGAGGTTTTACATATAGATCGCGTTTCTGTCTTTCTTCTGACTAATAAATAATTTTGGTTTAATCAGTTATCAAGATGTTTTCAACAATATTCTTTCAGCGTTCGTCTTTTCCAACTTGGGCGACCCTTTTGGAAGCGCGATACTTGGGTTAACCCATCCTATAGTTGGGTCTGTTTCCAACTGGGGTTCGAATATATATAAGAAACAGGAGGGGTCCTAGGATGCTGTCCTGTGGCACCCCTACGGTTAGTGGTAGAGTGGGAGAGGTTATATCATTGATGGCTACATATTGGTGTCTGTCACTAAGATAGGATCGGATATAGTTCAGGGCCTCGGACTCCATAATGGTGGAGTTTAAGTAAGAGGTAGTTATGGTTAACAGTATCAAGGAACCTTTCTCAGGTCAATAAAGATGCCAATCAGAAACTCACTTTTGTTAAAGGCTGAGTAGATTAAGTCAAGCAGACTAACAATTGCATCATTGGTACTCTTTTGGGAGCGGAAACCAAATTAACAGGGACTTAGTATGTTGAATTTTGTAATAATTGTTTCAAATATTTTTGATAATATAGGTAGATTTTATATAGGTCTGTAATTGTTTATGTTTGTCGGATTGCCTCCTTTATGAACTGGCGTTACACTTGCTCTTTTAAGGATATCAGGGAAGGTATGTCACTAGAGATTTGTTGAACAGCAAAGCTATGGGTGGTGCAAGGGCATGGGAGGCACTTGTATATCATTAATGGTATTTCACTAATGTTCCCGGCTTTGGTTTTTGGTGAGTGAATGATGGACACAACATCTGTAGGGCTGATTGGCGAGAGGAGAAGAGAGTTTGGGTTTGAGCCTGAAAGATATATGGTAACATGTGTCTGAGTCTGTGGAATTTTTCGAGCAAGGTTAGCACCAATCGATGAAAAGAAGCTGTTAAATTCAGTTGCTATTTGTAGAGTTGTTGCATGTGTGTAACCATCCTTGGAGATTTTGATCTAGTTATGTGTATGTTGTTTAGCACCTAGAATGTTAGAGATGGCTCTCCATGTGCTTTTCATGTTGTCTTTTGCTTCTTTGAATTTATTCTCATAATAGGAAAGTTTTGCTCTTCTTATTATACTGGTAAGCACTGACGAGTACCTCTTAACTACTTCCTTTGCAACTAGGCCAATCCTAAGTTTTTTTTCATATTCGTGTTTCTTGTCGATTGCTTTGAGTATGCCATTTGTGAGCCAGGGATTATTTAACCTTTTGCTAGTTACTTGCTTGGTGAGGAGAGGACACTAAGTATTGTAAAGGCTTAGAATTTTGGAAAGGAAGAGGTTAGTTAATGAATTTATATCTTGTGTATTATTAAATTTAGATTTCCAGTTTATATTGTGGAGGGCATTCGTGAGATTGCCTATTGCTGCTTCACTGTGTAGCCTAAAGGTAAGTTTCTTGTTAGCTGGTGGTGTTATGGCCATGTTCTCTGCCAGGAAGGTATGATAGTGGTCAGTTGTTCTGTCAGTGATTATACCAAATGTAAGAGGAGCTGTTATGTTGGTCTATTAATGATTCAGGGTAGTAGCGGATGTTTAAGTGAATCGGGTGGGCATGGTGATTGTGGTGATTAGCACAAAGGAGTTCATGCTGTTTAGGAAATAGCCGACTTGAGGGCTATTTTGTTGACCTAAGTCAATATTGAAGTCACTTCCCAGAATGATGTGATTTTTGTTGAGGTTGTTCTTTATGATAAGATTCCTTAAGTGCAGTCTC